ATTACAGAGATCCACTTATATGAAACATCCAAGTGACTCACAGAGTCAGAAAGTAGCTTAGCAGCTGCCTGGGGTTGGGCATGGGAACAGGGAGTGACTGCACATGAACACTTAGGGGTCTTGTTTGGGTGATGGAAATGTTCCAAAAAAGTGTTTGCACAACTTTATAAATTTAGTAAAAATTATTGAATTATACCCTTGAAATGGGTGAACTTTTATGTAAATATTTCTTAGTAAAAGTTTTAATGATTAAGCAAGTTTAATTTGTATTGTAGTGGCTGGCACATGGTCCTTCAATAAATGATAGTGTTATTCTTTGAGGATGCGTTTCATTCTGAGCTCAGACCTGATGCCTCAGAGGGCAGGGATGGCAGGAAGTGCCAGCAGCTAGCACTCACCGAGTTCTCAACGTACAAGACCGTGAGCGCTCTTGCCCATGTTGGGGGATGGTCATGTGCACCATTTCTGAACACGACCTGGTGATTTCTGGGTTAGGGTTAGTGATTTCTATGATGCTGCTGGCCAAAGTTTCTGCCTGACCTCCCCCTCTCATCCCCCCACTAGGAGGTCCTGGAGGTCATGAAAGCTTTCCCCTCGGTTTTCCCTCAGCTACAGCTCAGGAGGCCCATGGTCCATTCATTATTATCCTTGGGCCACAGTGTCGCCTCATTATAGGAGGAAAGAATTTGGAATGTTTTATCACTTAAGCTTTAGCTCCTGATGATACTCCAGTCTGTGTGGTTAAAGGGTTGGATAGAGTAGCAGTTGCTAGGTGGTCTTTAAGTCTGAGTCCCTAGTATAGTTCTACCATATTGCTCTTGCCCTGGGGTTCTTATGGTTTCACAATTCGTGCACTGAGGGATGGGGGGAGGGTGTCCCTCAGCCTAACTTGCACCCTCTCCAATCTGAAACCTCTTGTGGGGATGTCTGATGGCTGGTTTAGGCCCAATCCCTTAGATAACGGGATGGGGAGGGGATTACTTCACATCATTGGTAAAACTTCCTGGGTGGGCTCAAGCTGGCCAGAGGTGCTGAAGGACCAGGGCAGGGAGTGCACCCCCTGCTGCTGCGGAGCCCGACATTCGGACCATGGGGTACTCTCTAGTAATTAATATAACTGCAATGTAGCAGTTTTCCTTCCTTCAGAAATTAGTTGTTTCTTCTGATATGAAACCTACCTTAGACATTTCTTTTGTGGTTTGTAAAGATTTTAAGCAAAACCCATTTACTTCCCCGCCCAATGGAAGAGGTTTGCTGGGCAGCGTTGCCCAGATATCCCAGCCCTGCCTCTCCTCTCCTCCCACCTTTTCCCTCCTCCCCTCCAATCACTAGGCTGGGGGCAAGGGAAGTTCTGAGGCTGACTCCCTGAGGCTGCTGGTGGGACAGGATCACTTGTTGGCCTGTGGACACTTCAGAGGCTGACCCTGAGGCTGCAGGTGTGTGTGTGTGTGTGTGTGTGTGTGTGTGATCACTCGCCTGGGTCAGATTCCGAGGCTGAGACCCTGAGGCTGCCACTGGGAAGGGATTGCTTTGAGGGGGCGCAGGTGCTTCCAAAGCTGAGATCTTGAGGCTGTAGGTGTGTGTGTGTGTGTGTGTGTATTGGGCTGGAGGCGTGGACCCAGGTGCTGTGTGCGCTGGGCTGGGGACATGGATCCGGGCCACCACTTGGTGCACGCACAAGCAGCTGCCCTACCCACAGCTGCTCTGCACCTACACCCATAGGCCCAGATTGGCTGGGGGTGCTCTGGGACCCCAGCCACTTAGGGCCTACAAGTGGGCCTACAGGCTATGAGTGGCTTGAGTCCCAAAGATATTCTGGGACCCAGGCCACTAGGTACCTGTGTTTGCAAATTAACTCACCATCTTTGTTGGGTTAATTTGCATATGCACTCTTGATTGGTTGATGGGTGTTGCAGAGGTACTGTCAATTTGCATCTTTCTCTTTTATTAGTATAGATTGGCTCTAACCAGTAAGCACATGGCTAATGCTCTATAATAGATTCCTATTAGACATTAGTTGAAATGCACAAAAGGTGTGTGTAGATGCTCAGATAGTCTTATGTGAGGTCAAGTATGAATGAAAACCTCCCCCATACCCACTGGCATTCAGACAAATTAAGTTTGTGCACTTTTCTGAAGCTGACAATTTGCTATGTCTAGTATTTTGTCATTGTACCAAAACTACCTCCAACTTTACTCTGCATCCTCCATGTCTGGATTCAGTCCATTCACCGATTGCTATTTATCAAATAGCGCCTGTGGCCAGGACCTGGGCGAGGTGCTCAAGGGAGGCATAGAAGCTGACCAACACCCCTTCCTCTAGGAGCTTTCAGACCAGTTGGGGGAGGCAGGGAGCACATATGTAAAGAGGAAATTTACATGAATTGAGATAACGGGAAGGGGAGGGGATCACTCCACATCATTGTTAAAACTGCAATTGATTATAGCTTGCTTGGGTCAGATTCATGTTTTAGGCATAGCAGGGACATAGAAAAACTTATCTCCAGGGCAGGCCTTCATAAGCAGGCAGTGGAAGCTGCTTAGCTTGATGGAAGCCCAGAGCTGGAGGAGATGGTCAGAGGCAGGTAGAGCTGAGTGTCCAAGTGATGGTAAGGGGGATTCGAAGGCCTACTTAGCCAAAGCAGCTCTGTTGACAGATAAGAAGACTTGCCTATCAAATTGTTTTAACTGAAATTTGGGGATTATCTGATTTTCTAGCAGTCCCTCTCCCTCAAATTTTTTAATTTCTAAACCTGTTAGTCTGCTCCTGGGTCACTGAGAAAAGTAAATATGTAAGCCATCATGAGGCAAAAGTTAACTCAGGGCACACTTCCACTTTGAATTGACTTTCCGTATTCAATGGCCTGACTGGGCTTTCTCCTATTTCCCTCCTTCCACTCCTTACTTCGTGGTGTAGCTAGACTGGCTTTTGTGGTGTGCAGGAGGCTGTAGCCATCAGCATGGTTTCTGTAGGAAAACGAGTTCTGTGCTAATAACAGAGCAAGTCTGCTTCTCCTTCAGTCCCTCCTATAACAATGTCTGGGGCAACTGCTCCCTTTGGTGTGTGGAGGGCAGGAGCGGGGAGTTGGGTGGGGATGGACAGTAAGGAGGCCTCCCTCCTCTCCTTTCACAATTCAACCAGAGCCACTTAATGTTTATCTTCATTGTAGGTTGGGCTTCAGCATATGATTCCTTTGGAACACCAAATCTTATTGTAAAGCAAACCATATTGAAAACCACTGTTTTGAGAAAGCTGGCGTTAAGTGGAATCTAGTGATTTAAAAGATGTTTGCTGTGGACTTGAAATAATAATCCGGAGGAGCAAATGTACTGTTAGTCCTGGACAGCAAGACAGTCATGCTGTCTTGACTGATAAATTCTAAGAAGTAATAGCCCAAATCTTCATTTCACCTCCCAGCTTTCATTTCTGCCTTAATTCTGAAGGGAGTGCAGTGTCGTCCAGATTGAGGGGATTATACTGATAACTTGTTTACATTTGCATTAAGGATTCAAAGGTTGTAGACTTTGTTTATAGGACACCCTTTCCCTACACGTTCTTTTTCTTCCTGTCCTCTTAAGGTAACACTGAACATTATTTTCTTTGTGTCCAGGCTAGAAATGACTGAATAACTGAAAAAAGTATCTTGATTTTTCTTATTTTTCTCATGGGGAGCTCTTTTAGGCACACTACAGGCTTTGTACTCCTCTGATGTTTTTGTCATGAAATGCGGCTCCCGTAGGTTCAGCCTTAGTCACCATCTGCTTGCTTGTGACAGCTGCAGCCAGGCGTCAGAAGCCGGGCATTTCTGCCTCCCTTGCTGACCACGATTTCAGAAGGTTTCTTAACAGCTTGGTTTCCAGGAGCAAAGACACTAGCCTTGTTGACTTCACAGGCTTGTTTTGGGTTGAAATGAGCAATGCTCTGTGAAGGCTTTTTGCAGAGATCAAGAGCTATACAAACCCATATGGTCGAGTCCCCTGACGTGATCAGGGCTCTGCAGTTTTCACACAACAATGACACCTGTTATCTAAAGACATCTTGACTTACTTTTGAGGCTTAATTTCTTTCAAGAGAAAAAAAAAACACTATAAAAGGTATGGGACTTACCTGGAGTAACTACATAGTTTTTTTTTTTTTTTCATCTTTATATAAATGTCATTTTAAAAGAAAGAATAATGGATTATCCTGAGCGCGTATTTGTCATGTGAATTTTATTGTTCAGTACCATGCTATTACTGTTCTATAAAGATGTGACATTTGTGTTTCAAGTCCATAGAATTTTGCATTCTTTTATTAAAAAACAGGCATTACAACAACAATGCTTTATATTTTCTTTATCTTGTTCATGTCCATGAAGAAACAGTATTGACAAGAAAGCATTCATATTTGGCACACATATTGCAGGTGTGTGGACAGCACATTCCATTGTGTTGAAACAGAGACATTACAAAGATGAGTGCAGAAACAGTAAAAAGCTAGGTTTTTTTTCCTTCCTAATAGAGGTTTTAGGATGTTTACATACCTCAAAATACTTAATATTTTTTCATTTTCAAAAATATTTGAGTTTTCAAACTAGTCCAACTGGGCTGCACTTGACTCTTTCACAGTTGGAATAAATATAGTGCCGCTCTTTCCCTCCTTCTGGGTGGTTACAGAGGAAGTGGATTGTTTGTACATGATTCAATTGGGAATAAACCTGCACATTTAATTCCAAAATATCCCTAGACTGGAAAAAAAAAAGTGCTCTTTTGGAGTAAGTGATGCTTATTTTATAGTAATTCTATAGCCAAACAATTTATTACGTCAACGCAGATACACAGATAGCGTGATCAAACAAAATACTTACTGTTTTCTAGCTGCCTCACAGAAATGATTTACTCAAGAAAACAGAACAAAATTTCTCAGTTTCATTAATCAGCTTCGTAAATATTTTGCCAGAGCTTTTTTGTTATTGTTGTTGGGATGGGGGAAAAAATTTAAAAAAAAAAAGTTTGAAAGCTCATATGTGTCTATTTTGTTTTAGCTTGGTGTATTTATTGAGAGTAAATTCTGTATGTCTTTGCAGTTCGTCAATATGTGTATTTAGAAGTTTCTCAAGTTCTTTGGCTCGCTTCTCTTCCTCCATGAGGAAATGCTGCGTGGCCAGGGAAGCTGGGAAGGACGTGTCTGTGGGAGACTGAAGGAAGAAAGATGAGTTAGCTGAGAAGCACAAAGCCTTTTTAAATCTTCACACTTCCAGGCATTCTTCAGCCCTGACATATTGTCAAGGACTGCAACCCTTAATGAAAGAACATACCTTCCGCTCAATTCCCTCCACCAGTGTAATGCGGTCCCTAAAGACATCGGCAAGGAGCTAAAGCATCACAGCTCTGTTACATAAAAGAAAGCTCTGGAAGTGAATATTGCGATGTCCAACTACAGATGCAGAGAGAACACAGTTACCATGAAACTTACCTAAAACGTACTCCCCTAAGTTGCAAAGCTAGTGATTTTCACTTGAAAATAGGCAACTCTAAAAAGGCTGAAATAAGGTTTTAGTAGCATGGGACGAAGAAAGCTTATATAGGCAAATAATTAAGGGTTACTTTAAAAGGGGGCCAACTGCTGCTAGGGAGTTAGCTAGGTGAGGAGGGCGGCAGAGTTGCTGCTAAGCGGGTCTGGCCAAATGCCGGGAGGGATCTTGTTTGCCCAATTACAGCTGAGAAAGCCTCAGGGATGGGTGCCCAGTCCATCCTTCACGTGACAAGGAAGTGCTCATTTAGCTGTTTGTGGCCTGTGTAGTGCTTACTTTTATCCTCTATCTCATACATAAAATCTGTGGCTTAGGAATAAAGAGTAATATTAGGTAATTTTAGAGTGGCTCAATAAAAATAATTTTTAAGTTAATTAAAAAATAAATTGGGGGAATTTGTATTTAAACGTTCTAGTTCTGTAGTCAATTTTGGTTTTATTAGGAAGAATGGGACTTTATAAAGGGTTTGGAGAGTGAGCAGTTTGAATGCAGGTGAACTTTGTCACAGTATGAGGGGAGGGGTTAGTTCACAAGTATGGCCTCCGTCAAAGTGTATGGGTCAGGTGATAGTAGAGTACCACAATCTTATCTGAGAAGTGGCCCCTGCTGTAGCTGCTGGGCCAGGCACAGTATCTTTACTGCAACAGAATACCACAGCCTTGGGTACGTGGCATGCTGATGTTCATCACGCAAATGCATCCTTTTAATAACGAGGAGCAGGGCCAGCAGCAGTTGGCACTCACATGGCCTGGCCTAGACAACAGGGCACATCCTGAGCACAGGCACTCCATCCTGTTCCCGTAACCTCCATTTTGTAAAATGCTGTTTAAAATTGCCCACTAAACACAGATGGCCCTTTGTTCTGTTAATTCCGGGAAGCAACCTTGCTATTCCTGGCTTCTGTAAGCATGCTCGCTCAAATAACAGGGAAAATAGGCTCAATTATCTGGTCCTGCAAGCCACTCTGCTGACATAAGGGTCTGGTCCGACCCTGGTTCCTCCCATGCTAGGTGTCGTTTAGTTATCTGAGTTGTGCTGTGTCCAAGGTCTCAAGCTTCCTGCAAAATATCTACTGAGCACACTACCCTCATCCCAGTACATGGGGCTCTTTGTAAAGCCTGCAAAAGGTCCAGAAGCCCCATATTTAGGCGACAAAGAAACCAGGAGGGTACTAAGGGAATGCTTCCTCCATGTTACTTTGCTCAGACTTTGGAGGCAACTCCTCTGAGACCGCCCGCATAATAAAGACTCCAAATTTGGCTTACTGACTAGGGCATCCTCTGTTCAGCTTTCTGATTTCCAATATAACAGTCCATATTTTTGCCTCACTATTGTGTTATGTTAATGATGCTGTCACACTAAATTCTGAAGAAGCCTGCCACCTGAACATTCCAAGAACTACAGACTATAAGACATCAGTCATATATTAACACTAGAGGCCTGATACAGGAAGATTCGTGCAAGAATGGGCCTTTCTTTCCCTGGCTTCCAGCACCGGCTTTGCTCCAGCTGGAGCTGCCTTTCCACCTTCCCATGCTGCCCAGAGGCCCAGAGCTGCTGGGGTGGTGTGGAATGCCTGCTCCTGGCCACTTAGCGCCTGTGTATGCAAATTAAACCACCATCTTCATTGGGTTAATTTGCATACACACTCCTGATTGGCTGGTGGGCATTGCAAAGTTATGGTCAATTTGAATTTTCATCATTTATTAGTGTAGATTAACATCATCCTAAGACTTGATGAACAAGAAGTGATAAGCATATAGAAGGCTTGGCAAGACACACAGACTCCAGAGAGTGGAAGACAAATCTCATAAGCAATTCAGGGGATTCACATGGTGTTTTCAGGTGTCCAGTGATATGGAGCATAGCTACATATCTCCTCTTAAGCACAAACTAATGCACCTTGAATTCTTATCCCTACGAAAGAAGCACAAGAACCAGGGAATTTAGATGGGTGAGGAGATGGTGCATATCAGTTAAGTCCTTGAAACCAATTGCAACATCAAGGAAAGTAATTTATAGCACTAACCAGATATTATGACCATCCAGAATCTTGGAAAAGCAATGCCTGGAAGGAATGAACAACATGGAAAGGATGCTGAAGGCTCCCCCTCACCAGCTGGTGCGTCTACCCTGAAGCACTGTGGGTGTTGACTGCTAATAACTCACAGCTGGCCACTTCTCTGGAGACCTACCCTCGGCTGCACAGGAACCTCCTGCCTCATTGCAATCCCTCCTACAGTGCAATCCCTCTTAGAGGCAAGCCTGATTGACACAGGGGCACAAAACACCGGACTTCTTGTCCTTCCGGTGAGCCAACTCTGTTGTGTAATATATGCTCCAAGCTCCTGGTGAGATCAGGCTAGACCCGTGGTCAGCAAACTGCGGCTCGTGAGTGTGGCTCTTCCACAAAATACCACGGCCCCTTAAGTGTGGCTCTTCCACAAAATACCACGGCCAGCCTGGGCGAGTCTATTTTGAAGAAGTGGCGTTAGAAGAAGTTTAAGTTTAAAAATTTTGGCTCTCAAAAGAAATTTCAATCATTGTACTGTTGATATTTGGCGCTGTTGACTAATGAATTTGCTGATCCACTGGGCTAGACCAATCTTAACTGAGACCTTATTCTTTTTTAGCTTTCCTTCCCTCCCCTTGTTTACTTCCCTCCCTCTTCTGCTGAGAATACTCTCTCAATAAATCATTTTCACAAGAATCTCCACCTCAGATTCTAAGGAACCTGACTGACCCACAAGCAGACAACATACTGGATTCTGCTTGAGTGACTAGGTGACATCAATGTTATATATTGAGAAAGGAAAACAGTAAAAGGAGCCCATTAATGATAAAGTCTCATTTATTTGTGATTCTCCAGATTCTAACTCAGATTCTGAATTTTGAATTAATATGTGAATGAAAAAAAAAATGCATTCTATTTTGAATAAAGCTGAGCCAGAGGTGACTACTAGATAATCAAGTTGACAGTGAATATATCAGTCCAGATTTCAGAAGGTAGGTCTGGATCAGAGATATACATGTGGAAATTATAATGATTAAAGCCATGAGTCTGGTTGAAATCATCCAAGATATGCAAATAAAGGACATTAAAAAACAGAATCCTAGGGAACACTTCATTTCAGGCACCCATTCCCACGGTCATGTTCTGAACATTGATAACTACATTGTTTACTAATCAATATTTTACGCAAACCACATATTATCCTTCTGGCTTACTTAGTCTATAGCAAATACCACTATAAAGCAATATTGGAAACTTTCCCTTTACAACTGACAATGAGAGAAGGGTGCTGGAAATACCAGTTTTACTATTCAACATTTACACAAGGCCCTGATCAGTACAATAAGGCAAGAAAAAGAAAAAAAAGTATAAAGATTTGAAAGTAGGAAAACAAACTGTCATTATTTTGATTCCAAATACAAATAAATTAGAAAGAATCTCCAGGCCTGGAGTACATATATAAGTTCAAGTGAGTATTTTCATGGGGAAAAAGATTGAGAATCCTACCTTGCACCATATGCAAAAATTAATTCCAGATGTAGATCTAAATATGAAAAGTAAATAGCTAAAGCTCCCAGAAGGAAACACAGGATAATATTTTTATAACTTTGGGACAGGCAAAATTTTTAAATAGAACACCTAAAAATATTAACTATTAATATAAAGAAAAAATTCATAGGTTTGCATTAAAATTAAGAACTGTGCTCATAAAAAATACCATTAAACAAAGGGAAAACAAACAAATGGGATAACATTAAACTAAAAAATCTGCTGCACAGCAAAAGAAACCATTATCAAAATGGGAGAATATATTCACCAGTTTTATATCAGATAAGGGTTTAAGTTCCAAAATATATAAAGAACTCAGACAACTTAGCAAAAGGAAGACAAAAATGGGCAAAGAACCTTAACAGACACTTCTCCAAAGAGTACATACAGATGACCAATAGACTTATGAAAAATGCTTAATTTTTCAATCATCAGAGAGATGCAAAGTAAAACTACAGTGAGGTGTCACCTCACACCTGCCAGAATGGCTACCATCAACAAATCAACAAATGACAAGTGCTGGCGAAGATGTGGAGAAAAGGGAATCCTAGTACACTGCTGGTGGGAATGCAGACTGGTGCAGCCACTATAGAACACAGTATGGAGTTTCCTCAAAAATTTAAATATGGGACTGCTGTTTGACCAGTGAACCCACTTCTAGGAATATATCTTAAGAATCCCAAAATGCTAATCACAAAAAATATATCTATGTTTATACAGCATTATTTACAATAGCTAAGATCTGGAAACAATCCAAGTGCCCATCAGTAGATTAATGGATAAAAAGAAGTTGTGGGACATTTACATAATGGAATATATGGGGCTATAAAAAAGAAGGATCTATTACCCTTTGCAACAGCATTGATGGACCTGGAGATTATTATGCTAAGTGAAATAAGCCAGCCAGAGAAAGACACATATCACATGATCTTACTTATTTGTGGAATCTAATGAAAAAAATAAACTCGTGAACAAAATAGGTCCAGCCCGGCCCTCGAGGCTCAGTGGTTGAGCATCCACCTATGAAATAGGTCACGGTTTGATTCCTGGTCAGTGCACATGTCCAGGTTGAGGCATGCAGGAGGCAGCCGATCAATGATTCTCTTTCAATATTGATGTTTCTATCTCTCTCTCTCTTCCTCTCTGAAATCAATAAGATATATTTTTAAAAAACACACCAAAAAAACAAAAACATATTAAAAAGCAAAAACACAAAGTAGGTTCAGAGGCATGGATGCATGAAACAGACTGACAGATCTCAGAGGGGGAAGGGGAGAGATTAATAAAAAAATGTATATGCATATATGTACAGCCCATGGACATAGACAACTGTGAGTGAAGGTCTGGGGTTGGGCAAATTGGGGACATCAAAGCGGGGGGGAGGGGGGATTGGGGATGTCTGTAATACTGTTAACAATTTAAAAAGGATTAAGAGGCCAAAACTGGTTTGGCTCAGTGGATAGAGCATCGGCCCGCGGACTAAAAGGTCCCAGGTTCGATTCCAGTCAAGGGCATGTACATTGGTTGCAGGCACATCCCCCGTAGGGGGTGTGCAGGAGGCAGCTGGTCGATGTATCTCTCTCATCGATGTTTCTAGCTCTCTATCCCTCTCTCTTCCTCTCTGTAAAATATCAATAAAATATATTTAAGAAAAAAAAAGGATTAAGAGGCAAGTAAGATTAAGTGAGAGAAAATATTTTCAGTACATACAGTCAACAAAGGGCTTATATCCAAAATATATAAAGAACTTCTACAAATTAATAAGAATAAAAATAATCCAATAGAAACTTAGGCAAGAAAATGGAACAGACACTTTACAGTGGAAGATATCAGAATGGCCAGCAAACAAATGAAAAGGTGCTCAACCTCAGTAGTCACCAGAGAAATATGAATCAAAACAATAATAAGATATTACTAATAACTGACCATAAAAGCTAAATGTAAAAAACCAACCACTCTCCTATGTTAGAAAAAATATAGAACAAAGAAAACACATTATTTCATGTAGTGTTAACTCAAATAGTTAGGAAAGTAGCTTGGCAGTACCTTCTAAAGCTGACCTTATGCATATCCTGTTACTTAGCAATTCTGCTCTTAGGGATACACCCAATGGAAATTATACAAATGTGCACCAAAAGACACATACAGTGTTTTCAGTAGCATTATTGTAATCGCCCCACACAGGCTATAAAGTCCAACAGCAGTAGAATCATTGTAGTATCATTGCATGCAGAATTTATATTCAATGGGATACTACAGACTAACAAAAATAGAAACTATAGTATGTAAATCAACATGGATGATGAAGCTAATAAATAGTGTTGAGAGGGAAAAAAAAGCCTGAAGCAAAAGAACATACCATTTATATAAATTTTACAAATGGCCACAACTAACAATTATATTACAAGTCAGGATAATAGTTATCTTGGGAGAAATCTGAAGGAGTGACTGGAGGGGAACAAGGCGGGGGGGGGGGGGGGGAGGGGAGCTTCTGGAGTGCTACGCTGTCCTATTTATCATCTGAGTGGTAGCTACAGTGAGGTCCCTTTCATGATAATTCACCAACCTGTCCACTTCTGACTTGTGTATGTTTCCATAGGAAACAATTTTAAACAGCCACTAAAGATCACCTGTAGCTCTTTAAAATATAGATATCCTTGAGGACACATGACTTTCCAGGGGCGAAGTCACAGTAATTCTGGCCTGCACTAGAGGTGATAAACCATTGATTGACATATTTCATGGAACATTCTGGCTCTCTTTTCCTTTTGTAGATAGGCATGTCCAAACCACTCAAACAGCAATACCTTTTTAATAACTATGTATACATCAGCGTATTGATATCAGTGTGAGCGTAATCACCCGAAGAAGAAGAAGAAGAAGAAGAAGAAGAAGAAGGAGGAGGAGGAGGAGGAGGAGGAGGAGGAGGAGGAGGAGGAGGAGGAGGAGGAGGAGGAGGAGGAGGAGGAGAAGAAGAAATCCAGCCCCTGCAACTCACCAGTGAGAATACTTCTTCATCGCTAACCAAAGGACTGGTCATCTCTTTCATTTGAAACGGCAAAGGTGGAAGTGGAGGCGGTGAACTTCCTTTTGGCTCACAGTCTGGGCTAAGACTGAAAAAACAAGGACTGGTTGTCATTGTTGCTACCAAGGACACCTGTGTGTTTATGTTGCTAAGGATTTGTTTATGCAGCTAAGGGTTTTAACTTCTCTGAGGTCTAACTGGAGGAAAATATACCCAATGTTTTGGCTTGTAATCTGGTTATTTCTTTGATAAAAAGGCGAAGTGATTGAGCAAACAAAACAAAACTCATAGACCCAGACAACAGAATGGTGATTGCCAGAGGGAAAAGGGGTTGGGAGCAGGTAGAAAAGGATATAGAAGGGATAAATGGTGATGGATGACTTGACTTGGGGTGGTGAACACACAATACAATATACAGAGGATGTGTTATAGAAGTGTACACCTGAAATCATATAATTTTGTTACCCCAATAAATTCAATTAAAAAAAAAAAGAATTCCAAACTGGGAGCAGACAGAGGCAGAGGGAGATGAAGGCTATGGAAGAGGTGCGGAACTGGAGGAAGAGTGTAAACAATAGCAGATGGAAGGGAAGGGGCTGCCAAGATAAGGGCCCAGTACAAATAGAAAAATAATTAAGGGCGATAAAAATAAAAATAAATATAAAATATAAAAAGGTATTTCTTTGAAAAGAATTTGCCTAATGAATAATTTTTACCTCACTTAAAAAACTTAGCATGATTAATAATGAAGCAGAAAACTGTACAATAATCGATAACAATATTCTGTCATTCTTATTGCCTACATTGCTTCCCTCTCTGTTTTACTTCTGTATCTCTTTGCCACTTAATTAAATAACATGAAAACCAGTTTGAGAAAAATCTCAAAACAGCTAACAATACTGACCTTGATAGTTCTAAATAGATATTTTTTTTTCTATTTTACTTAACCTCACTGGCTTTCTTAACAGAATTATACTTAAAAACAATTCTAGAACAAGTCATTTTCATTCCTATAGGAATTAATACTTTAGAGCATCTTTTCAATTTAATTAATCTCCTGAAGCTTCTCCACACTGTCGACCTTGAGTAGGTGCTTTTATCTGCTACTTTAATGTTTCCATATATAAAAAAGGTGTTTATGAGAATTGAATTCCACAAGTTGGATGAAAGGCACAGTTCAGAATTTGCTGTTTGTGTTAAAATATGCAGTCAAAATGAGACTGAATAAAATACCAGTGAGATTTTAAATATTGGTATGCTGACTAAACAAATGAATAATAAAACAAACAAACCAAGTTACCCTAAAATTTTACCCAAAAAAGGTCTTAATAGGATGGGCTGTTTGGAACTAATTAAGTATATTTGAGTGTTAATTAATGAAAATGGGGTTTAAATGGAATAAAAATCATCAAAGACCATGAAAACATAAAAATCCCCTCAATTTAAAATTATTTTCTTTTACTATTAATTCAATCTCTCCATAGGTATTGATGAACTATTTTCAAAGCGTTCCTATTTTAATTTCACTCAGTTCAAAAAAAAAAATGTACTAATTTGTCCCTGTTCTCATGCAAAGACCATCTATAGAGACTTGTTTCCTATTATGCAAACATTTTCAAAGCTTTGCAAACAAATAGCAATAAAAGTGAAGTAGGCATCTGTAAATTAGTCCATAAAAACAAACACAACATGTGTTCCATTTTTACTTATCTTGAAATACATCTTTTTCAAAATTCATTCTCCTAAACCATAATTACCATGGAAACAAAACAACAAATGAGGCTGAAATAACATGGTTTAAGATGTGCACAATCAGATGAAACATCCCACAGTCAAACAGAATTATAACAATTGCATGGTACATCTGCATAGAATCTTCAGCCAAACCATTGAGCTGAGGCCACCATTTATACTTCAAAGCACAGTAGCAAAAGTGAGATAATTATAGAAGTGATTCAAAAAATCTCTCTCTCTCTCTGCAATCTCAATTATACAGAGATTTCTGGAAACGTATTATTTGTCCTAAATTATCTAAATAATTATCTCAATTATCCATTTTTCTTTGGAAGCAAAGATATAGTTTGATGGTGTTAATGACTAAAATTGGTGGAGGAACATTCTTTTTATTGTAAAATCAATGAAATGCAGAGATTAAAAGGAAAGATTACATTGCGAAGTGAAGTGCTCTTGCTTTAAATCATCTTTATAACCGACACGTTCTTCTTCTAGAACCCAGCTATTCAAATACTCCGTAAAACCACCCGGCATAAAATGCTAAGTAGATCAATGTAATAGCCATCCTAAAAATTATTTCAATTATCATTTCCACCGGCCCTCTTCAAGGCCTCTGCCTGGGTTGCCAGGAGGGCAGGATCTGATCGCTTTGTTGGGGAAAACTGGACCCGCTTGAGATTTGAATCAACTCGTGACACAGTTTGCAGAGCTGTCCGACTGCACATCCAATCCTGGCCCTGCATCAGTGTTCCCCAGGCTACAGGACACTGTGCCTGTCATGGAGCAGGAGCCCTGCACAGGGACGCTGATTACCTGCTCCCTGCTTCACCTGCTGGCCCTGCACACAACGCTCCCTATTCTATGGACTCCTCCTATTTCCTGGCCTAGAATGGCTCAGCCTGCTCTGTTTTGCTGTTATGAGTAACACCGTGGTACAGAGTTTTCTCACCTTGCTTTGCTTCTAAATGACTATTTCTCGACAAGGGATCCTGTGAGAGTGGTTATGACGAGCCTGGTTATATGGGTTTTTAGTTTTAGAAACTTTAATGAACTAGATTTGAAGGTATTTGAATGGTTAATGTCTGTGGTTACTGAAACTTTTACAGTACATAATTTCACTTGTAAGTATATATCTTAAATAGAGGTAAAACACCACTTACTACAAAATTGACTTGCCATTAAAACTTGTTATATATTAATAGCTCTGGATACCACCCATGACTCCAAATTAGCTTACAAATTATTCTAAACTTCAAACTCACTAAAAAAATTTAAAAAAAAATTAAATACATCCTCACCCAATTCAATCACCTTTTATTTATAAATGTTTTTAAAGTGCCAAATAACTGTGTTATTGAAAAGAAAATCCTTTGGGAATATCCTCAAACGCTTCGCGTTTTAAGTGGTTGAGCATGAAAAACACATCACTTCTAACAGGCGTGAAAAGCAACAACAAACCTGAGCTGCCTGAGTACATCGAGGTTTATTTCCATACAAAGCTTTTCAGTTAAAAGCAGGAAATGGCTAAAAATAAGAGTACAGGCTTTAACATGTTATGGAACATTATCTTCCTGTATTTTTACCTAAAAGCCTTTTCCTTTCTCAACTAGTTTAGTAAGACCTTTTTTTTTTTTTTTTTTTTGCATCAGCCATTGATATGTAAATATAACTTAGGAATTTTTAGATTTTTTTTTTTTTATGTCTAACAAATAGATAGATAGCTTTTGCTCTCTGATTTGACTGAGCTGTGCTGTGAGGAAGAGAAGGAATACTTCATGTTTCACTCGCTAACTTGAATGGGTATGTGCTGTACAGTTCTCCACCGGGGAGTTCAGGGTCCTTGCATCTCAACAACTCTCCCCACAGCGCCTTTTACACGGTGATAATTTATTCGGGACATTTGAAATGCTGTTTCTGTTAAAAAACCAGGTCACTGGAGAACACTGGAGTCAGACAAGGCATGAAAACAAATTTAATGAAACTTGCGGCAAATGAGAATGGCAGGACGCGGGCTGGGCTCTGCAGCAGGCACGCTGGTCCACACCGCTTATTAAATCCTCTCCTGCTGAGCACTTTACCTCTCAGGCTGCTTGCCTGGTCCCCTACTGCCTTGTTTTTGTCAGGACCTTTCGCACACTCTGTACTGCTCGACAAAGAGAAAAAAGGGGCAATCCAAACAATAGAAAACTTAAAAAAAAAAAGAAAAAAGAAAAGAAAAGGCAGAGGATTCGTCTTTTTGTTTAACCAACAACACCAAGTACCTTCATCTAAGGCTTTTGAAGTTGTTTACAACGAACGAGGTTAGGAAACAATGTCTGCACCTATGGGTGCTCTGCACGGACCGATGGCTGACATACTTAGGGAGACCCTTTATAATATCTCAGAGGCCTGCTTGTCTCTCACGGTGAGAAAGCTATAGACATGGGTCATGATGAGACCCATGGAAAAATGAATCCACAGACTAGGGAAGCACTCTGTAAAGGGTCTACTCTATATTAGAGACTAGATTCTTCCACCCAAAGCAAGAAGTGCCCATGTTAACGAGCCACCATAGCTGAGAATCAGTCCTGTCTTGGGGGGAGGGGGAGAGGTTCAGCTTTGTAACTAATTTACGGTAGCAGTCTACCCATTTCACTGTTATATTTTGAAAGCTTTTGACACCAGATTTCATATAAAACAATGTATCTACACTATTGTATTATCACTATACAATCAGCTTTAAAATGGAGAGAAAGTATGTAAAGGTATAATTCGAATTGTTTAAAGATAAATTTCAATGCCATGTTCATACACTGATACCCTTATGTAATGGAGCCAGCATACCTATATTCATTTTTTTCCATTTTTATTTGGTTTTGATAGGCATACTGCACCGGTTCTTCGCAGGCGCTGTGGTTAGCCCACACTGGTTTTCCGCTGGCGTGAAGTTTTGCAAGATCACTTCGGAGCCTTTCGTTTTCATACTCCAGTTTGTTAATGGATGTGTACCTTGAATGCTCCCTGTTAATGTCCATGCTCTAAGAAGAAAAGAAACCATCACTGAAAAGAGTGTTCCTCTCAAGTGGTGCGTATTTTCTATGCGTTCGGACCCCTGTGTTGGAAAGACCCTTTCATTCGAGTCGAGTGATGTGGCTCTATTCTATGTCCCTCCCAAATACCGTTTCCCAGCCTCGCCTCCTCATGACACATACACAGTGACAGCTGCCGCCGAACACATTGCCATAAAAGCAATGCACATATTACGGCCCATGTCCCAATGGAGAAAGAGGCTCACACATGCACCGCGTTTTCTGTCTCCCCAACAAGTTGGCTAGATTTAAGGGTTTTGTGTTTACAGGGTGTGCCTTCAAGTGTTGATTAATAATGAACATTAATAGTAATGTTCCATTATTAATTGAAACATAGATTCAATTTGATTTTTTTTTCCTGGTTAAAGTAATACATGTCATTATAGAAAATCCTCTACTGATTCCCCACTGTTGGGTGATGTAACAGGTTACATACTAAATCCGTACAGACTGGGGTCTGATTCTGGACCACTCTACACCCATCACCTAACAGCTGAGATTGTGCAGTACCACACTGTGTTGAGCAATGTAGTTACATGTTCAAGTTTTACTAACTGATATGGACAACCCAATTTTAATATGACTTCAGAAGAGAATAGGAAACATATTTAAATCACAGAATGAGAGGTTTGGAGCAAGGAAAAAAAAAAAAGATTTCTGATGCTCTTTGAATTAAATGCTGTAAGAAGTTTCCTAGCCAAGGTCTAAACTTTTCTTCTCCCAAAGTTTTAAAAAACATTATATATTCTCACATAAACATGCTTTCACTGACTCTCCATGGTCCTTTCTGGTCCCGTGATTCAAATATCTGTAAACTGTGCAGCTGCTGAAGAAACAATAGTTCTCTAGTGTTGGAATATTTTAGCATAAAAAATGTACCGTGTATGAGACATCTGTTCTGACACTCCAAATTCCTATGGTTAAATGCCTGTAAGACTACAGATGACTAGTATGGCTTAGAACTTTCATTGAGAAGTTTCTAAATGTAAGGCTTGTGGTGCATTTCATGGCATGACACCTTAGGTATTAAAAGTCAGTACAGCCGAGGCCGGTACAGCCGAGACTCGTTTGGCTCAAAGGATAGAGCATTGGCTTGGGGACTGAAGGGTCCCGGGTTCTATTCCGGTCAAGGGCATGTACCTTGATTGCGGGCATATCCCCAGTAGGGGGTGTGCAAGAGGCAACTGATTGATGACTCTCTCTCATTGATGTTTCTAACTCTATATCTCTCTCCATTTCTCTCTGTACAAAATCAATAAAATATATTTTTAAAAGATCAGTACATATTAGGTATTCAAAGTGTCTACCTAGTTGTTTTGGTTTTTGTTTCAAAGGATAAGCTTTCCTACTACATTTTCTGTTTACTACCTAATGGATTAGAGCATCTTATAAATATTTAGAAAGGTCTCACTTTTATTTTTTTATTTAAAAATATATTTTATTGATTTTTAACAGAGAGGAAGGGAGAGGGATAGAGAGTTAGAAACATCGATTAGAGAGAAACATCGATCAGCTATCTCCTGCACACCCCCTACTGGTAATGTGTCCACAACCAAGGTACATGCCCTTGATAGGAATCAAACCTGGGACCCTTCAGTTTGCAGGCCTATGCTCTGTCCACTGAGCCAAACCGGTTTCGCCAAGGTCTCACTTTTAAATGAAGGGAAACACTCCTGAGAGCAAACTTCCCCAAAACAATACAGAAAGGGCGATAAGCTTACATGGCTTTGGCTACAGTATACCCTTTGGGAAGGAAGGGCCATCGGAGGATTCCTCTGATTGCTAAGCCCTTGCCTGTAGTATGTCTCCACAGAGGTACAGCAGTGCAGATAAGAGAGTCATGTGAGTCTGCTTTAAGAGAGGAAGGATGGTGTGTTCTAAAATTAGAGTAAAATTGCGATAAATATAAAGGAGGCAGAGTCCTATAAAATGTTGCAATTCACAAGGGAAATATTCATCTGAGCAGATCTGGTTGGAGGAGATCATGGAAAAGATTCAGCAAGTTACTCCTAAAAAGGTATCTACTATTCAAAATGTATAATCCAATTATATTTTTCTTCAAGCGTTTTCTTATTAAATTAGATTTTTATCTGTGACTCCTTTTTGGCCCAGTGTTAAAACTAATTAAGGATATTATAATAATAATGATTTATTAAAAAGTCCACAATTTCTAAATGTGCCATATTTAAACCTGTGTTGTGAGCATGGCATGGAAGAACTACACAGCTAATGCATTTACATGATTTATATTTAAAAGCATATTCTGCCCTGGCAAGTGTGGGTCAGAAGTTACAGCATCAGTTCATGGGCCAAGGGCACATACCTGGGTTTCAGGTTCTATCCCAGCCCCAGTTGGGGCATGTGCAGGGGCAACCAATTGATGTGTCTCTCTCACATGGATGTTTCTCTCTCTTCCTTTTCCTCCCTCCCTCTCTCCCTCTTTCCCTCCTTCCTTTCCTCCCTCTCTCCCTTCCTCCCTTCCTCCTTCCTTCCCTCCCTCCCTTTCTCTTCCTCTTCTCTCTCCTTCCCTTCCCTTTCCCCCCTCTCTTCCACTCTTTCTAAAAGCCAATGGAAAAATATCCTCAGATGAGGATTAACAAAAAAGTAAAATAAATAAAAACATATTCCATTTTTCATGACAACAATGGTCTTTGACCTCTCTCATTTCATGTTTTTCTTAAATACTTTTCTGGCAATTTCAGGAATGTATCATATCCTTCACTAGATGGTTATCATGTGGAAATAGGCATTGCTTAAATTCTACCTCTGTACTTCTGATGTGTTATTTTCTAAGCCTCTTATCTCAATTTCCTTTTTCTTCTTCAAAAATTTAAGATTCTATAGTTTTAATCCATTTCTTTATTCTTGAAATGGCAAAACCTCTACACACTAGCATTAGGGCCAATTGAAGTAATGAGGTGTCTGAATAATAGTATTTTGTTTGCGCACTTATTTTAAATTCATGTATGTTAAAAAATAGTAGTTAGGCTAACAAAGAATTTATACAGAACTGGCTTTAATCATATTTTATGGTTATTATACTGATTTTCAGGCTGCTTTAGATACTTCTGAGGGTTCTTATTTTTTATGCTATTATGTTATTTAGAAAATGTTATGGGTAGTGGAAAACAAATTAGTCTTAAAAGTTACCTTAAATTCTGAGTTCTTATTAAATCTGGATTTATGACACTTTCTTGAAAAGAGAGAAACTTTAATAACTATAAGCACAGGCCAAGTAAATATGGAATCACAGAAATTGCCATGATAAACTTCTTTATTAGCTGTCCCAGAGCAGAATAAAGCTAAACACCTCCCTTTTCTCCTTGCAGTTAAGTTTTTGCACAAATTCCAAGAATTTCACTGAGACCTGAGAAAGACCTGCAGTCCGGTGTCCATCCATCAGCCCAGCCTCCAGAGGAGAGGGGCTGCCGGCCCAGCATGCACTGGGCAGAGCTAGTGCAAGCCTGCTGTTCTGCCACCGTGAGTGTTTTTCTTAAGTCCTTTTACTGAGCGTAAATTAGCAGGGACCTTCACAGTCAGTGGAGCAAGGAAGCTCCCAAAGCTCCAGCTATTTAGAAATAACTTACCTTAATATCAGTAACTTCACTTTTCTAGAAAGGAAAAGAAACTATTTTAATATTATCCAAATACCACGTTTTAAAAGACATAAAAATGATGATGTACGTATTTCTTTTGTCTGTGTAAAATTTCAGCACCAATGATTTAATTATGCATTTACTTGTTCATTCCAATTATTTCAGAAGATAGTAAATAATAATCTAATAGTGGAATGAATTTAACACATAACAGATAGGAGTTTTCTTCAGGACATCTTTAAATTGAGTGCTAAATAAGTGATATAATAGATTGTAAACTCTTCAAGAGCAAATCTACTAAACTCTTTTAAAAAAATTTAATAGACACTTGAGATTTTTCTCTTTAGGGACTGGCCTGACTATTTCAATTATCAAAGCCAATTCTAAATCTTCACATAAAAGAATAGAGAGCAGGTATAAAATAAACCTCTTTTATGAATTATACATAAAGTATGTACAACTAAATAAGTATCACACTGAGGGCCATACATCAATGGTATTCCACTTTATGATACCCAATTAACCAATCTTTAAACTAATTTATAATGTTATATGTATGTGCTAAGTGCTATAGAGGTAATTAAATATGAAAAAGATCATCCATTCATGGAGAATACAATAAAAAATTGAGTAGTTTAAACTAACATGTATAAAAAAATAGTGAATAATATCAAGTATTATTGTGAGTTAAATTACGTTGCACTGAGTAGGAACTCAAATGCTTTTTAATCAAGGAATAGCAACAACTATTTGTACTGAGATCATGCAGGAAGTGAGATAAAATGAGGCTTTTTTAAAATCTCTTTAATGATATTAGCAATGGTTTCCATGGTAATTTATTCATGCTTCTTAGACTACAGGTGAGATTCATAAATCCACAAATATTTGTTGAGCCCTATGCTATATCAAACCCTGTATGAAGAAAAAGTATTAAATATAATCTACTTCATTTCTAAGCATTCTATGTTGGAAAAGACAAAAATTCATAGAAATACAAAAAAATGTTTAAAAAGACAATTCAAAATATTTTACAGCTAAGAGTGCTAAAGCAAGTCAAAGAAAGGAGAAATAAACGGAGCCTTGACTGGTGGTAGAAAAATACATGGAAGAGTTAAAATATAATCTAGATTTATAAATACAACAGCTATTACATTAAAATACTAATAAAAGAAATAATCCCAGTGTGTGTCGGATTTAAGAAAACAGAGGGAGAGACCTAAATTGTACAAGCAGAGGAATAAGAAAGGAACATAAACACAGAATGTAGAAGAGATAAAAAGAGTTGTAGGATATTATTACCTTTGATAACAAAAGAACAAATTGGAATGGATAAAAATTTTCTGGAAAAATACAAATTACAAAACAAATAAACAAAAATAAATAAAAAATCTAAAGAGAAGGGAAAATTGAATATAGCAAGTATCTTAAAAGAGAATGGAAAAGTAATTAAAGATTTACTGAATTGACACTTCAATGTCCAGATGGTTTCACAGCTAAACTCTTTCTAACTTTTAAAGAATTGATATTTCTAATATTACTTAAACTCTTTTAGTCCACTCATAAAGATGGAAAGCTCCCAATTTATATTATAAAGCCCACATAAACAACTTGTTAAAACAAGTAGGAAAAAAATAGAAATATAAAAAATATCATTTGCACATATAGATCTTAATTTCTAAATAAAATATTACCACATAGAATTCAGTAATACATCAAAATTATTCAAGTATAGCTTTTAAGGGTTGTAATTTAACAAGCCCTAGTACCTCAGAATGTGATCTTTTTTGGAAATAGGATCTTTACAGAGCTAATCAAATGAAAATGATGTCATTAGGATAAGCCCTAATCCAAAATGACAAGTGTTCTATAAAGAAGGAAAAATTGGATACAGAGAAAGACATGCTAGGAGGGAAGATACAAAGACATGGAACTGACAGCCATGTGAAGACAGCAGACTGGAGAGATGCATCTATAAGCCAAGGATTGCCAAGGATTGTTGGAAAATCACTAGAAGCTATAGCCAGGCCAGCAAAATCCTCCCCTCCAGGTTTCAGAGGAGCATGGCTCAGTGGACACCTTTGGATTTCTAGTTTCCAGAACTATACAATAAGTTTAAAGCATCCAGTTTGTGGTACTTTGTTATGGCAGCCCTAGCCACTGAACCCAATGATCAACAATGTTTATTCCAGGAATGCAGAGGTGGATCAATATTGGGAAATACCTGCCAGCCATAGTCTGTGACATATCAACAAGTTAATGAACAAAAACCACATCTATACTAATAATAGAGGAATATGCAAATTGTCCAGGATGCCATCACAGTAACAGTAACGACCAGCAGGCTGCCTGGGATGATAAGACCAGCAGGGGGTGGTTAGTGAGGGACAACCAAATGACTGAACAGCAGGCTACGTGGGGCGACCAGGCTGGCAGGGGTGTTAGTGAGGAACAACCAAACAACTGAACAGCAGGCTGCATGGGGTGACCAGGCCAGCAGGGGGGACTGTTGGGGGTGATCAGGCAGGCAGGCAGGCAGGTGAGCAGTTAGGGCCAGCAGTCCTGGATTGTGAGAGGGATGTCCGACTGCCAGTTTATGGATTGTGAGAGGGATGTCCGACTGCCAATTTATGGATTTATAAACCTGATGGATTGAGCCTAAACCGGCAGTTGGACATTCCCTGAGGGGTCCTGATTTGGAGAGGTTGCAGGCTGGGTTGAGGGGACCCTGCCCCCATGCACAAATTTTGTGCACCACGCCTCTAGTGATATCATATATACTGAAGAGGCATTTAATAAAAACTAGCAGCAAGTCTTAACTCTAAGTTAAGGATAAAGATAGAAAGATATAAGAACCATAAATCAAGAACAAATATTATCTTGAACAATAAAACACTAAAACAATTTCATCTACCTCCTGCACACTCCACACTGGGGATCAAGCTCACAACCTAGGCATGTACCCTGATTGGGAATCAAAGGTCAATGCCCAACCACTGAGCCATGCCATCTGGGCAGTACTCACTATTATTTAATATTTATTTGCAATATGACAAAAATAACTGATGCAAACAAAAAAAAAAAGAGATAAAGCTTTTGTTGATACAATTGTTTATATAAATAAAAAAACTTACAAATCTCAAGAAAAATACCTACTAGAACTAACAGATAATTTGGCTTTTTATTTTTACTTTATTAGCAATAAATTCTTATGTGTGGAAAAAAAAATTGTTGCACTTACAACAGTGACAAGATTTATAAAATACTGTGAAATAAATTTAAAATAAAGGCGCAGAACCTATACAAAGAAAACTATAACTTCTTATTGAAGAGCATAAAATTAGAAATGAAAAAATGGAAAGCCATGTCATATTCTTGGATGGAAAAATACCAGTTCTTTCAACATTAATACATAAACTTAATTCCAAACAGAATCCAATAAAAAATTACCAAGAGAAACTAGATAAATTGAACTTCACATTGATATAAAAGTTTAAATTGGGTTTCTGTTTTCTATCACATGCAAAATTACAATTCAAATGGATTAAAGACTTAGATGAAAAATATAGATACTGTGTAGTCATTGGAAGAACCTTGTTATTCAAGGAAGGAAATTCAAAAGATATAAACAAAAAGACGTGTGACAAATAAAGGTTTAAAACCTTTTGTATGGCAAAAGGATTTGTAAATAAACTTAAAAAAATACATTTAGAAAAGTGCTACTATAAACTGACAAGAAAAAGACAACCCCAACAGAAAAGTGAGCAAAGACTATAGTTAATTTACAGTACATTGCCAAAAAAATGTAAAAAATATGCACACTGTAGTTAGAGAAATGCAAACTAAAGTTCTATTGAGAAATCACTTTACACCAATCAAACAGACAAAAATTTTAAAAAACTATAACATATACTGTTGGCAAGGATGAAAGAAAAAGGTAAAAATATGATTTGACAACAAATGTTTTTTTAAAAAATATATTTTTATTTATTTCAGAGAGGAATGAAGAGGGAGAGAAAGATAGAAACATTAATGATGAGAGCAAATCATTGATTGGTTGCCTTCTGCACCCCCCCCCACCACCCCCCCACCCCCCGCTAGAGCCTACAACCCGGAGATGTGCCCTGACCAGAATGGAACCATAACCTTGGTTCATAGGTTGACACCCTCCACTGAGTCACACCAGCTGGGCAACAAAATGTTTTAAAATTAAAACATACACATCCTTTGAATCAGCAATTCCATTTTTATGGAGTAATTTCAGAATATATGCATACGGATGTTTTTACAGTATTGTTTGTTTGTGCAAAAACCCAGAAACAGAGTTGAATTAATTATGAACGAATTCTGAAAAATAGTTGAATAAATGTTGAAACATTCCCATCATGTGATATTATTGAGCTGTTATACAGAATGACACAGATCTAAACCAGTAAGGATTTGCAAAGGATATTATTGTTAAGTGAACAAAAACAAGACACAGAAAAGTATGTATAATGTAATCCATTTTTTAAAAAAGGTTAAAAATCCTAAATAGGTATATGTATATATGTATACGTATGTATGTTTAGTTACACAAATATGAATTCATATATATAAAAAAGTACAAAATAATACCTACTGAATAGTTAACATGTGTTATCTGGTAGATGGGAATTGAGGTGATATAGAGACATGGAAGGAGAAAGGGAGAAGCAAGAAAAAAGACTGCACTAAAATCATGAGTATATAAGTTATGATTCACTTTATTAAAATTATATATTTTACAAATAAGTATGTATTTTTTCCTGAGAAATTAGGAAAAATCAAAAGATGTTTTTCTACTGACTTGTAGAGATGTTTATATGTAGTCAAAAGGCAGATTATGCATAGTATACATTTATTTCTATAAAAAAACACTCGACTCATGCCCTGTACATGTGTGCATGAGCAGAGAAAACGCTACAGAATTTTACACTGTTTTTTTTCAGGAGTCCAAACTAGGACTGGGGATAGAAGTAGGAATAATTAACCTCTTCTTTATACATCTTTGTTTTATTTTATTTAAAAAAACCAAACACAAATAAATAAACAAAGCTAAATGCCTACAGGTCTCAGGGAAGCAGGCTCAGTGGGGGCTGTGAAGACATTTTTTAAAAGAACACAAACCATTTTGTGAAAGAAAAAAAGTGACACCCTTGGGGGCAGGATACAGTTTAACTTGTGTGTCCAGTGTTTAGAAATAAAAGTCTTGGGTATCAGGAAGATTTTACGTAACAGCTAGGGCAACCAAATACACTTTGCTTTTTATCCATCTATAGTACTCTAATCACAGAACCCATAACTGGGCCCAGAGAGGGGGAAGAATGCTTCCAGAAAGCATCTACTCTGTGATGCTAGAATACGGACTATTTGTTTTGAGAACAAGTACATACTGCTGCAGAAATGCAGCCCCAGGGCTTCAGAAGGAGCCGTGGGCATTGCCTACTCCAACTCCCTAATTTCACAACTGGGGAAGCCGAGGCCAGGTTAAGCAATTACCATACTCCTCTCTTATCTTCCCCCTGCCCTGAATAGTAGAAAAATATTTTACTTCAGAATTTTCCTTTAGAGCAAATTAGTGGCAAACAAGTAACAATGGTATTTCATTAGTTCAATAAATAAGCGCTATCCTATTTACATATAAAACCCGACCCTCAACTGTTCTATCAAACAGTTGAATTGAAAGGCACAGAGACTATTGAAGTTGCCTTGTGTAAACCTGTGGAGCCACCGGTTACAATCACAAGGTCAATTCTCAATCATTCACTTATTCATCCTTTTCATGCAACCAACATTTCCTGAACACTTACTGTCCTCCTGCTGCTGTGAAGTGATGGTGATACAAACGCTAATAAGACATGGTCCCTGTTCATGGTCTCTATTCACCATTCAGTGGGGAAGTGAGAAACTACAAAACAAGTCAGACCAAAACACAAACCAATTTTGGATGGAAATTCATTCTGACTGGAATTTCAGGGGCGGGAAAGGAGGGGGAAGGGCTTCCTCAAGGGGGAGGTTGACTCTTGAGTCAGGCCATGTAGGATATGAGATTTCAGAGGCAATAGCAAGACAAAAAAGCAAGGAAGTTTGAGGAAATGATCAGAATTGAGCCCAATCCAGGACAAGAATAAGGGAGAAACCAGACATTTAACTATTTTAGCCTGAAGATAAAAGTAAGTTTGATCAGTGTGCGAGATATTGGCTACCCTGCAGGAAGTGCTCAGCAAGTAATATAAGTAAACCCTGACCAATCAAGTCGTGTCTGTTCAATTTACTGAATGATTTCATCATATTACCATGTACCGTCCAGGGTCTAAATCTCCCATCATTCCTTTTAGATGTGTGTTTTCAGTCCTGACAGCTTTATATTTCATATCCGAGACCTGAAAGGAGATTAGTAGGGGAAAGTGAATATAAACTTCATAATGAAAGCTCATGATCCTATTACAATTAATGTTACATTGTTAATATGAATATTTCCTAAGTGGAGTGAAGGGAACACTTCTTTGGCACGATGATCATAAATCAGGAATTCTCATTTGGTTCTCCTGCATTTGGTAGGCCCCACTTTTCACTCCTTTTCTGACCAGTGCTAAGCTAAAATTAGATAACTCACAATAACAATTCATTTACATGTTTTTTTCAAGTCTCAAATTCCTTTTCTCACGGCTATTTTCTATTGTAAGCAAATTACCACCTGAAAATCACAACTTTAAAAACATGTTTGAATAACTGTCCATTAACCATCTTTACTACCTGATTAATTTTTACAATATGCAAATATGACTTTCATGGTTAATTTTGTTCATTCTGATATTTTTGCAAACTTTCCTATTTTTGGGGGGTGGCTACTTCATTTTGTCTTCTAATTTAACTTTCCCCAGATTTCTTTCTATTTGACAATACGTAGAACGTAATATTTACCCTTTTATTTATCTAGGATTCATTTCTATATAAAACAATTCAACATTTTGTAATTCATAAATTACAAAATATATTCCCCTTGACTAAGCCTTAAAACAATATAAGAATATAATGGTAAAAGTAAAAATTCATAATTCAATGACCCAGATCACTGCTAACATGTGTAAAATATCCCAGGTACAACAAATGCTACCATCCCATCCATGCTATTTTCCTGCGTATTGTACATATTAATCGGCTTAAGGGTTATAATTGAGCAGAGGCTGAATCTCTTCTTGTTTTTATAATATACAGGTTTAAATAGCCTTGCTATCTCTGAAGTGACCCTTCAATGTCTTGAAAGTTATTGAATGGGACTCTCAAATCCTGTAGACTTGGGCGGAGAAAAAAGGTAGATAAATCCTATGCTTGGAATAGCAGGCTATCAGTTTGATGATGAATAAGGGGTTAAGGGAATTTCAAAATAATTAGGAAAGAAGGGAAGGAGGGGGGAAGAGAGAGGAAGGAAAGATTGGGAAGTTACTTGCAGAGTTGTAACGGCAGAACGTTATAATTGCTGTCTTTTAGCCATGAACCATGCTGTCCCATTGAGTAAATGTAAACTAGTTTTCATGTTTCAACATCCATTTTTTATAAACCTTAAAAGAAATTATATAAAATGGGGGTGAGAAGTATCCAGGAAATACTGGAATAGAGGCTTTTTAAAAGGATAAAAATGTTAATGGAAGGAAACTATAGAAAACAAATTCAGAAAATCTTTGACGAAAGCATGCTGTGGAGGGTGATCAAACTATGGGTCACAGAAAATTTTAGGATGAGATTTAATGAAATTATCTCGCACTGTCGCTTATTCCCTAGTCCTTTTATGATGACGCTTCGCATGATCTCACAAAGGTTTTATGTGACAAAGCATTTCTGTGACGCTAGTCTCAGAGAGAATACCGAGATGCAATGCTTCTCTCCTAAGGAGGGCCGCTATCTGCACTGAGCAGGAGAGCGGCCTGGGCGGGCTGTCCTCCGCTCCCATACCTGTTGTTTTGCTAACATTTTTTCCTTGATTTCTAACTCCACCTTCAGCTGCCTCTCCAGAAGGGCAGCCTTTCTCATGATAGTCGCTATAGTGACCTCCTTCTGATGAAGCTCCTCCGTTAGGTCAGAGATTTCGTTCCTCATTCTTTCCTGCTCACAGCCGTGGTGCTCTTCCTCCTGATAGAGCTGGCTCCTTATCTGCAGCAGAGAGAGCCCAGGGAGCATTCACAAGTCCTGTTATTTATGAAGCAGCTGAAGGCGTGTACTGGTCGCATTCATTCTTCTTACCTGACCTTCAAACAGAGGCAGGCCCTCCCACCCCCATTTTCCAATCAACGGTAAATTAAAAACAGACACTCACAATAATGATTCGTTTACTTTTTCCCTTCCAATTTCAAATGTTCATCTCTGACTTCTATTTTCTATTGTACATAAATCATCACCTGCTGCTGACGTTACTTTGATAGGAAGGGGAAGAAAGTATTACCAGACATTTTCCTCCAGCTTTCATAGGTATACAAAAAAACTGTACATAATTAATGTGCAGAGTTTTGTGAGTTTGGACCCACACTCATGCTACCATCACCACAATCAAGGTAATAATCATAGCCATTTCCTTGTGACCCTTAGTTATTTAATGTGTGTGTGTGTGTGTGTGTGTGGTAAGAGCACTTAATATGAGATCTATCTTCTTAAATGTTTACCTGCACAACACCTCACTGCTAACTACAGGCACTGTGCTGTGCAGTGCATTCTGGGGCTTAACTCATCTTGTAAAACTTAATTATATGCCCACTGAGCAACCACCCCAGAGAGCTGTGGTGAAAGAGTCCTGAACCTATGATCCAGAGCAAGCATTTTTTAGGGAGAAAAATTGGCTGAGAGCGGGTAAGTGATTTGCTCAAAGTCATAAAGCTACTAGCTGACAGAGCCAGGACTGCAACCCAGGACTGCTGGCTTTAAATTCAGTACTTTTTTTTTTTCTCTCTTTTTTACTAAATTGTGCTGAACTTTTTGTGACTAAACCCTATGTTTTTCAGAATCATGTTATAATAAATTTCAAATTTAATGTATTCATGAAAACATATCACCTCCTTCCGTAGCCTGTGGAATCTTAGCTCAGGATCGCCTTGGTCCTCCTGCTCTCATCCTCCCCAATGCATTCAAGTAGCAAATTCTGCCTCTTCTGTTTCACTCTTTCTTATATCTCACCCCTCTTCTACCTAGTCTAGCCTCTTACTGTCTTTCTGTGTATCGTTCACTGGCTCTAATTCTTGGGGCTCGGAGATAAAGTTCACAGTCACTAATCTCAAACATCACAGGCCTTTGGGAGAAACAGAAAAATCAACAAGTTAAAACACAGTGTCTGTGGTAGAGGCAGAACGTGGCGGAGGGGTTCCTACCCCAGCCTGGGATGCCAGGGCAAAGTTCCCAGAGGAGGGACATCAGACTGATAGTGAAGGGTAAACGGAACCCAGAGGGAAGACAGAGGTGGAGAAGGCTCCCAGGCAGAGAACCAGCCCAGGCACAGGGGTGAGTGAACACTCAGAGCCGAAAGGGGCACACAGTGGCTGGGACTGGGCGGGCTGTGAGAAGTCAGGCTGCAGGGTCTGGAGGCCGTCCACAAGAGACATGTGTGAATTTACCCCAAGGCACTGCCCTTAAAGGGGATATTTTTTCATTTAGTCTGTGAACATTTCAGGATATCTCTGTGAAAGAACAAGGGCATCCCCCTATCGCCCTCTCTTTTTAAAACATAGCCAGACTACCTCTAGAAAGTCCTAAAAATACTGATTCCTCAATATCCTCAAATATCCAGGAAGTATTCAAATTTAAAATTGTGTCAGAAGTGTAATGCATTTTTTAAAATTTACTTAATTGAAATGAAACTATGAGCTGCACCTTGTGACTAGTCTTTTTTTAAATATATTTTATTTATTTTTTTTTACAGATAGTTAGAAACATCGATTAGCTGCCACCTGCACACCTCCTACCGGGGATGTGCCAGCAACCAAGATACATGCCCTTGACTGGAACTGAACCTGGGACCCTTCAGTCCACAGGCCGACACTCTATCCCCTGAGCCAAACCAGTTAGGGCTAGATCCTCTGTTTTTAAAGCTTCTCTTTGTGTATGTATCTGTGTGTGTTCTAAGTGGTCTACATACATCATCCCACTTAATCCCCACACATGTCTCTATTTGGCAGATTAGAAGAATAAATTCACATAACTGCTTGTCGTCACATTCTGGTGACGGGCAGTCTGATTCCAGGACCAGCACTGTGCTGTGGACCCTCTGGGAGCGGAGCCCTCGAGGGTGGCTCACACACGGAGAGCTGGAGTGGGATTCCCTGACCTGGAAAGCAGGCAAACCTGGTCCAGCCCTAGCTTGCTACCAACCCTCATCTGATTCCATTCTTATCACTGAGGCTTTCAGAATTTCAGAGTTGTACGTGATCTTAGAAATCACATGATCCAACCCCATCACTTAACAGATAGAAAAAGAAGAAAAGAAAAAAAAGACTCAGAGGGCAAGGAACAGACTGAGCCTAAGTTATCCTAGGAGCAAAAGAGATGAGGAAAGGAGACAATGTTATAAGTCTCTTTACATCTCCAATCTTCTCTCTCCAGGCTTTTCCTTATAATTTTTTTTTAACTAGGTTGTTCTGTAGTTGGTCCCAGTTTGAATTTTGCTGTTTGCATCCCTGTGGTGTAGATTACATGTTTTTTGTTGTGTGTTTTTTAATGTTGGAAAATGAATATGCTATAATGAAAATGGAATAAACTGTTCTTCCCATTTAGTTATTAAAACAACACACTGTACTGCAAAACTTCCTTCTAAATGAGATTAACTTGCCTAGCTATAAATAATTTTTGGCTTTATTAAAAATGTCAATTTTATCACAAATAAATGACTAAAGCTAGTTGAATGTTAAAAAGTGAAGACACATGATATATGGCACTTGTTGGTTTTATTACCAGAGAATGAAAATGCTCTGCACAAATACTTCCTGGAAGCTATAACTATTTATACACAACTCCTTTGCTATCTTTTCTGCATGGCAGTGCATGATCTAAAGGTCTCCCAGAGCCACTGAAGAGATTTGTGTCTTGTATTCTCTCCTTCCATAGCAAAACAGTGTAACATCAGTATATTCCTCCTATTACTCAAAGTTTTAGTACTCTTTCTAGATCTATGAGGTTAAGAATAGTATAACTACACTTTAGGTGGCTTTAATCAACATTTTAACATAATGTATCCACTGGAGGCACCAGAAAGAACAGTGTTTTAAAGTTATAGTTTTATATGCTAGTAAAATCGGTTTTATGGGAATATGTGAAAAATACAAGGAAAATGGCCATTAATTCACATCACCTTTCTTACACATCATAATTGCCTCACAGTCACTCTCTGGGAGACAGGATTTATCTTTCACATCATCGTTATCTTTCATATTATCTTTCACATGTGTACTGTATTCATATTCTTCTTCATGGAAAAAATAAGACATCCCCTGAAAATAGATACATAATATAGAAAGAAGCAGAATATCTACCCTGTTTCCCCCAAAATAAGAGTGTCTTATATTAATTTTTGCTCCCAAAGATGCACTAGGTCTTATTTTCAGGGGATGTCTTATTTTTTCCATGAAGAAGAATACGGTACACATTTATTGTTAAATGAAAATAAAGGAAATTTATTACTTGTATACGGTACAGTAGTTGTCAACACAAACCAGACAAACTGAATCCTACAGTATCAGGAATTTACTAATTTATTCAATGATAATTATGTCATCATCTTCTGGAACATCATCATAACAATCCAATTCTTGAATTTCCTGGTGAATTTCTTGTGACTCCATTTCTTTCAGAATTAGCGAACCAAATCTCTCATGTTTAGCCTAGGGGGCCTTATTTTTGGGGGATGCCTTATATTTCACTCAGAAGGAAACCTGTAAGTAGGTCTTATTTTCGGAGGATGTCTTATTTTTGGGGAAACACGGTAGTAGTCCTACTAGATGCTCAGTGAATGTTCATTGAATTTATACAAACAATAATTGAAGTTATGACCCCATACAATTTTGGGAGATCTGAGCCTTAATATTAATGAATTCATTCTCTAATGGTTATTTTCACTTATTGTGTGTCTGGCACTGTGCTAGTACTTCAAACCTACACCCAGGCTTTTCCTACATTTAGCATTTGTTTAGACTATTTAACATTGGATATTCTATGTGATCCTCCAACCCAAAGAACCAGAGAAGTGAGTAGTAATTGTGATAAACCCATGGAAGAGAGCCACCACTGGATTTTCCTAGAGGGAGAAAAGAGTATACTTTTTGTAGGAGTGAAGAACCACAGGGCCCAGGTCTTACTCATCCTTGTATTTCTAGCTCCTGGGAGAACGCTTGGCACATGGTAGGTGCTCAGTGACAAAAATGTGGGCGTAAACTATACCAACAGCAGCCAATGTCTGCCAGGTGCAGACATTAGAGGAATCTGAGCGAGGCAGGCCCTGTTCTAAGCACTTCACATGTGTTATTATTTTATGGATTCTAACTTAAAGGAAGACTATGAACACTGAGCCAGATCACCTGGATTCTTTTCTGGCCTCTGCCAGATTAGTTGTATAATATTGGGAAAAATTACCTAGCCTTAGCCTCCTTAAATATTAACAAAGAACAATAGTAGTACCTACTTTATAAGATGGTTGTGAGGAATAAATGAATTAGGATTTGTTAAGACTTTAGAACAGCTCCTGGCCATGGTAAGTGCTATTTAAGTAGCTCATTTGAGCCTCATCACAGCCTTAGGAGTTATGTACTAATGATCCCATACCCAAACCCATCCTAGAAATGGGGACCCTGAGCAACTTGCATACACAACCCCAAACTTGCGCACTAACATGTGGCTGATGCCCATCTGTGATCTCATATTTCTTGCTATACGCTCTCTCTCATGGAGCTACAGGCCCTCCACGTTTCACAGGCAGTCTGCCGTGGCAGAGTGATGTCCTAGTGTCTGTGGTTTTTATAGCAGCACACAGAAGAATGTCAGTTTTAGTAGCTTGGAGAAGAATATAGAAGGAAAAAGAAGGGAATGAGAAGGAAGGCTCCCCCCCTTCTCCCCACCAGGAAAAGGCTGCCTGGAAGAATGGAGCTCCTTACTTTCCATACCTTAGTCAGTTCTTTCTCATGATTTGGTTGATCTGGGTTCAGAGAAAACAGTTCTTTCCTTTTCCTTTCTGGTTCTTTAATAGAAGGTGAATAAGATGATTCAAGTCTACAAATCCAAAGAAGTAAAAATTAAGCTAACTTGATCAATTGTATTATAGTGTTAATTTAGACAATCACAGATAGATTATTAGTTTATTGGAAACATTTCAAGGTATAGAAATTGCAAGTTACAATACATACAGCTCTCATAAGTATTTACATATTTAACTGAGTGTGAATGTTTTTAGCTGAAAAAAAAAACAGCTAGCAATTAATATGCAATTTTAATTATGCATTAAAAATTGGCAGAATACTTGGTTTGCATATGGAGGTAAGATTTTTGGATGAGGAAAAAAAAACCTGTCTTCTATAATAAAATAGCTTGGGAACCATCAGAAAAGGAAACACATCTGAGTTGTTAATACAGCATGGAAAGAAACTATGTCAGCAGGAATCTGAGGGAGAAACTGCTCCATAAAAGTGTACTAAAATGATTGCATCTGACAGGCTACTCAGAGAGGGCTCAACTGCATCTATTCTTTGGCTGTTCAATTTATAAAATGGAATTGCAACCACATATGGATATAGAGAGCAAAAGCGAGAATTAGTATAAAAAGTACAATTTCCACAGAAAGGTTAGAATAGTATAAGCAGGTAATGTGTACATCAGGGAAGTCGGTAAAATAAAATCATTAAAGCAGAAAAATAAAGATAACTAGGCAAGGAAAACAGTGTGTGTTCTATTCCCTGACTAATCTGGTCGAGTCCAGGGTTCTGAGAAATGTACCCACTTGTACAATTTTAGATTTCCAAAGAACTTTGTAAAAGGGTCCATAGATAAAAAAACTCAAGTCACATAACCAAAACAAAATCTGAGAAAAATAACTAATGAAGAAATTAAAAATAAAGAGATATTTTAAAAGGTGCATATTTATAGTGATATCCTTGAGATACATGTGTCTAGACTTGGATGTATGTTTTTAAAATCAAATATACAGAGTGTCCAAAAATGTATACACATTTAACACTGATAGCTCAATTTGTTTCTTTCTTTCCAGATTTAACCTATTGGAATTAATAATTATTCAAAGTATATATATAGTGTTGGGGGGAAATCCTGTATATGTTGAGTATAGAAAACAGAATATGGAGTATATTTGCTGCTATAATGTCCTCCAGGAAAAAAACATTGTCAGCATTTTTGTGTATATTTCTTTCTTTTTTTTTTCTTTTCTTTTTTTTTTTTACTATGCATGTGTAAACATACATACACATTTTCCATACAATTAGAATGTACTTTAGATATTATTTTTCAGTCTTCTTTTACTAGTACTTTTCACTCAGTAAATGTATTGGGAGCATTTTACCCAGTATTCTCCTAAAATGCTATTTCAAGATCAATCTTAACATTTTCTTATTTGCTATGATTTTCAAATTTGAAAATGAATTTTCCTTTTTTCATTTCGTCCTAAGCAACTTCAGGGGATGGAATGCTAAACTGAATGGTAAAATCCTCATGATGATCTTGTAAATTTGAGTGAATAGAACAAATATCAAACTTCAATGTGGATAAGTTCATAGAAGAGAACAATAGTCATGCTAATGTAAATGGTAATATAAATACATAAGGGAACTATTATTTATCACATAGGAATGGAGTGTTGGAAATATTTTTAATAACTCTCAGAACATATCAGCCCAAGGTGCTTCAACAACTGAAAAAAAGAAAAAGCTAACAAAATCTTAGCATTATTGAGAAAAGTTCTGATCATGAATAAAAACATTACAATGCTCCTTCTCTAAAACTATTGTATGTCTGCTCTCAGGGGCTGCTACACTTTAACACAACTATAAAGAAGAAACAGAGTCCAAATAAAAGAAAACAAAATAATATAAAGGCAGTACCACATTCAAATGAGAACAAATTAGGATTAGGAACTTTCAATGGGAAAAATGAAGGCTGAGAAGACTATGCTCAAAGTCTAAAATAAAATAGAAGCTGTGAAAGTTAAATAACTGTTCATCAACTCTCAGAATACTAGAACTGAGTAATATGATCCAAATGAGAAAGATGTAGTTTGGAGACCAAAATAAATACCAACATAAATAGAGGATGGCAGCCAGGCATAACAAAAGAGTTGTATTGGCCAAACATGTGAATAATTGCAAGATTTTAGCTTAAATCATGAGTTGAAGGGAAGTTGGCTCTGCTTTAGCACTGGCCTGTAAGATAGCTCCACTTCACAAAAACATGAGACGTGGTTGAGCAGTTTGCTGTTTTGGGAAATTTATGTTTTTAGGCATATACATTCCTTGTGTGAAGACATTTCTCACCAATTCACTACACTGGAACAGTGCCTTGCATATTATATATTTCCAATAGATTTATTAATGATTGGTGATGATGATACATAGCTTGTATACAGAGCACTCAATAATGCTGACTGCCTAATAGGAGGCATTCTACCATCCTTGGTGAGACATACAATAGGTCACTTTTAAGAATCTTAACTTGCCATTTTTGTAAAGGGTATACCTCAGGCAGGCAAGTACTACAACTTTGAAGAAGTAAATGTTACCTTTAAAACAATGTTGTCATCTTTCAAAAAAATATCCCTCACCATTTGGCTATTCAGTTTTTAAAATACTATCATTAGTCTGGCAATAGCCTTCAGAATTGAGAAGGATTCAAGTTCTAATAAGAATTAGAACATCAGTGAGCGGTGGGAACCATCACACTGTCTATTCACAAGCATAAATATTTAATAATCTCCAACAGTCCATTTTCTTTGTGGTTATGGAATATGCAATATCTGTCTGATTTTAAAAAGAGGAAAAATATTTCTAACAAAACCCTTAAATGGAACTGATAAGGTGATTAGTGTGGAGGCAAAATTAAATACAATATTTACCGGTGAAAAAGTTAACAAGTTTATAGGCAAACTAGAGGCCTATAATTATTTCGAAAATATGAAATAAATCTTATTTATATATAATTACATATCAGCTTTATAGTATTGTTTTAATAACATCCTGAAGAATAAAAGTTCTAAGAAAATTTCTGACTCAGTATAACACATACATATCCATAAACCAGAACATGATATATTTTTCTATGTAACATATTAATCTTGAAGATAAAATAACCATTAATTTTATTGTTAATATCTAATAATTAATAGCATGTTAATACAAAACAAAGAGACTTTTTAGTTTTAAATATAAAATTCTTAAAAAGCCAAACAGTATATTTTGAGCAGTTTCTCTCAGGCTGCTGAATGTAAAGAATTACCTTTTGTTATTTTCTTGAGCATTTTGGCACTCTCCTATTTTTAATAATTCTCTGTGCAACTGCAGTCGTTCCATTTCTATAATTCTCAAGAGATCATCACGTGACTGTAACTCACTTTTCACCTCTGAGAGTCCTGCTTCCATTGCCTCAATAAAAAAATTAAACATGTTCAATGATCATATTTGGATGTCATGATGTATAATGATGAACACAGTTTAAAATGTTTAACATGTATGAACCAGCCTAATTGACAGTCCTTTGCTGGCTCTGTCTCAGAGAATTCATTCCTTCATTCATTTTTTTTTTCAACTAATAATTACTGAGCTCTATTATGCACTCAACACTGAGGATACAGAGAATCTGTCCTCAATGAACTGACAACCCAGTGATAATGACAAAGAATAATAAAATAATCACACAAATATGGGCACACTAGACATTACTTTGAAAGAGGAAAATATAAAAGTATGAGTAAAATATCAATGCATAAAATGTGGATAAAGGCAAATAATTCCCAACTTAAACTTGATAATAGCCGAGAAAAATATAATTTTAAAGCTGGCCAACAAAGTAAATTACAAATCATGGTTCCACTACTGCCCAATGGTAGCCTTACTTTAGCTCAGTGGTTCTAAACTTTCCTAATGCAGCGACCCTTTAATACAGTTCCTCATGTTGTGGTGACCGCCAACCATAAAATTATTTTCATTGCTACTTCATAACTACAATTTTGCTACTGTGATGAATCGTAATGTAAATATCTGTGTTTTCCGATGGTCTTAGGTGACCCCACAGGTTGAGAACCGCTGTCGTAGAGCCTAAGACTATCGGAAAGCACAGATATTTATATTACGATTCATAACAGTTATGAAGTAGCAACGAAAATAATTTTATGGTTGGGGATCACCACAACATGAGGAACTGTATTAAAGGATTACAGCATTCAAAAGGTTGGGAACCACTGCTTTAGCTAGTAACTAGAAACACCAGCAATCCTATGAGCCCAGTGTTTTATTTTGTTAGCAGGAGGGACAGGCAAGTTTAAAAGCTGTTAGGAGAGAGAAGGGGTAATAGTAATGATGTCAGGTTCCTGAAGGTGGTTGGGATGGTTCCCAAAGCACAAGTGGACATATTGCCTAACGCAAATACCTCCACATGTCCTCTTTTGCAATAGAAAAGAAGGAAGATGGAATCTAGACAAGTTCATGCATTTGGACATGGGGAGATAAGACCGTGGCTACCAGGTACCTTCTCTTTTCCTTATGAAGGAAAAAGGAAGAAGAATTGGAGGTGGGGGTTTGGGAGTGATTTTTGAGAGTGAGAAAGGTTTGAAACTGCCTGAGTAGGGAATGAGAGAGTTGGCTAGTTGGAAAAATGCAGTAGGATTCCTGGCAGCATTGAGTTCTCACGTGAGGTTTGTGACTGTGACCTGCTGAGGATTTTCTCCAGCAGTACCTGACTGTTCCCTGGGAGAGAGGAAGGGCAGAATCCTTCCATATCATCATGTCTCTTCCACTGCATTATACAGGGAAACAAATACTTATTAAGTGTGCCTGACTCTGTTCATTAAATCCATTGCCAATCTTATAGATGAGTAAGTTGAGGGCCAGTTAGGGGTGATCAGGTTGACAGGCAGAAGTGGTTAGGGATAATCAGGCAGGCAGGTTAGTGGTTAGGAGCCAGTGGTCCCAGATTGTGAGAGATGTCCGACTGCTGGTTAAGACCTGAACCCACTGAGATCAGTCCTAAGCCGGCAGTTGGATATCCCCGGAGGGGTCCCAAATTGGAGAGGGTCAGGTCGGGTGGAAGGACACTTGCATGCATGAATTTTGTGCACCGGGCCTCTAGTCCTATATATTAAAGAGCTAATATGCAAATGGTTGTCACACCCTTGCGCCCTCCTACTCTTGTGCTGAGGTCAGGAGACCTGAGGCTGGGCTGGGGTACTTGAGGCTGGGCTGGGGACCTGAGACTGCATCCCCCGCAGCCTGCGGGAATTGACAGGAGTGGGGCTGGTTGGGTCTGGGTCTCAAGCGATTCCTAGGCGTGCGTGGGTGGGCAGGGACTTGACTCTGGGTCCCGCAGCACACCCCAGACTCTGACAGGAGGAAGATTTTCATATATATTTTATTAATTTTCTTTCATCTCTGAAACTTCTATTATAGAGAAAGGGAAAATAAAAATATTAAAATGTTTCCTTTAATCCCCTTTTAATGTGCACAAATTTTGTGCACTGGGCCACTAGTAAGAATATATTCAAATAGGTGATTTAATAGTCTTATTTGGATAAAGTGCCTGTTTCCAACAGTGGGACTTTTAGATAAGTTAAAAATTTAAAAGACATAAAAGAAATGTGAAACAATAGATTAGTAACACAAATTAATCTGATGTGAATGTCATCCATTATTTTTCCCAATTGAAGACAACTAACTGGGCTCCTTGCAAAAATTTGCAAATTTGCCACTAGGGAGGGATCTAATATGAAGCTGCATGTAGAAAAGTAGGCCTGCCTACGCTTGGGCAGTACAACACAGGAGTCTCCAACTCCAGGCCAGTGAACTGTAGTGTCACCTTGGGCTAGAGTTAACAGAAATTCTATACCATGTCATAACAATGGAGTCTATTTGTTTACTGTTAATGAAAATAATACCTGTAAGTAACACTTGGAGATATTATGAAGGGGAAAAAATGCTTATTTATTGTGATCTAGCTCTACAAGAAGGGGGATTTATGTTAAAATTGAAATTCTTCATGATACAAATCAACAGTAATGATTTGATATATTTTTCTTATATGATTAAATATGAAAAAAAGTTTTATTATAATTGACAACAGAATGGAAATTGACTTAAAAGAGGTCAATTTACCTCTTTGATAAAGCGAGAGTTGTTTTTTGACTTATGCAATATCTCTTTGAATTCAATGTTAATAATATCAAGTTGAACTAAGAATTAGTGAATTTATTTAACTGAGATGTAGTTTTTAAAATGGCATGCTTTTGCACAAAAGTGAAATCAGCTATTTTCAATGTGGATGCAAATATTCAGGAAAATATATTTTTTGGTATTTGTTTCAGGTATTAGAACACTTTCAAGTTGGTTGGGAATAACTGGGGTAAGTAAAGCTACTTTTTTTTTTTAACTGTGAATTTTATGAAATCTAAGTACAGATGACATATTTCAAATTAAGATTTACTATCTAAATTGAGATATGTTTTAAGTGTAAAATACTCACCAGATTTTGAAGATTTAGTATGAAGAGAAATGGGTAATAGCTCATTAACTTTTACATTGATTACATGTCAAAATGATACTACTATAAGTATATTTTTGTTGAAGAAAATATATTACTATTATATATTAATCTCACCCATTTCTTACTAATTCTTTTAATGTATCTACTAGAAAATGCAAATTACATTGTGGCTTGCCTTATATTTCTACTGGACAGTGTTGCTATAGTATTTGATGACACATTAACATGCAAACAAAAAGCAGTCAAGGTTTTCTTGGCATAAATATTTGAAAAAATTCAGAACAAGTTATTTGTTATTAATCACCAATGGGAAATATTGCAAACTTTATAAATGTGAGTGTATGCAGATAGTGATTAAATATTTTCAATGAAACTTATATGCATACCCACACATTTCAGTGTTGTAGAAGGACAGTGAGAAGATGTGATTCATGTGAAAATTCAGGTGAATATGGCATTAAAGTGTGTTATAAACTAAAGAGAATTTTATATGCAATAAGTGACAGTAATTCAAATTGAAATTATTGTGTTTTTTTTTAATTCATGTGCAAGATGTGCAACATTGCCATATGACAGTTTTGCAAAAAGAAAAACTTCTTTCTAACTACAGCACTGGTTACAGTAATTACTTTCCTCTAATTATTCCCATTTTGTAAAATACACATTTTGTAAAACAAGCTTAAGGCCCATCTGTTTAGTTAGAAATTTGCCTAATGGTTTGAGAGAAGCTGTGATTTTATTTATTATTATTATTTTAAAAATTTATCTTTGTTGTTGAAGAGCATTATAGATGTTTTCCTCCTCCCAATGTAGGCGCCCCCACCCCTTCCCTGCTCTGACCCCCTCCCCAGGTCTTCACCACACTTGTCTGTGCCCATGGGTTGTGCATATATGTATATATGTTCTTTGATTAATCTCTTCCCACCCAACCTCCTTTTCCTCTAAGATTAGTCAGTGTATTTCATAGAGAAGCTATAATTTTAAACCTTAAAATCAGTTACCAAATAGCAAATAATTGATATCTTATCACTTAATATTTATTCTAAAGCAAAAGAATGAAACATAAGTAAAATCCTATCTAATAAAAGAGTAATATGCAAGTTGACCATCACTCAAACATACAAGATGGCTGCCCCCATGTGGACACAAGACGGGCTGCCACAAGATGGCCAGCAGGGAAGGGCAGATAGAAGGGACCAGGCCTGCAGGGTAGGGCAATTAGGGGCGACCAGGCCAGCAGAGGAGGGAAGTTGGGGGCAACTGGGCCTGCAGGGGAAAGCAGTTGAGGGGGCCAGGCCTGCAGGGGAGGGCATTTAGGGGTGACTAGACCTGCAGGGAGAGACAGTTAGGGGCAATCAGGCTGGCAGCAGAGCAGTTAGGCATTAATCAGGCTGGCAGGGGAGTGGTTAGGGGGTGATCAGGCTGGCAGGCAGAAGTGGATAAGGGCAATCAGGAAGGCAGGCAGACAAGCAGTTGGGAGCCAGCAGTCTGGATTGTGAGAGGGGTCCCAGATTGGAGAGGATGCAGGCCTGGCTGAGGTACACCGCCCCCTATGCACAAATTTTGTGCACCGGGCTTCTAGTTTGGAAATAAAATAGAGAAATGTCCAAATGAAAGCATTATTTTCAGCATTTTTTTCTAAATGCATCATAAATAGCATTCTTCTGGGAGTAGAGATCTTATCTTGAATTTTTTAAAACTAAATTGCTTTTCAAAAACTTTTCATTAGAATTAAATTGTGTGTGTGTGTAATATATACCCTGGAATAATTTGGTTTATTTTTTAACACATGCAATTCTTTTGTAAAATATAAAGTTAAAATTCTTAGTTTAAATTTAATAATGTCCCTAGATCCAAGGGTAATTAAATTATTATTTTTTCATTATTAAATGTTTATAAAAATAACTGGTAACTTTCTCATAGAAATTGGTGGACAATAAATCAATAGTAACAGTCACATTAAAATTTATCATTAACCTTGAAAAACATCACAAAATAGAGTTAGAGAATTACTGGTGATGAATATGAGAAAACTAACATTTCAAAACTTAAAGCAAAGTTTCTCAACCCAGCACTATTTACATTTTGATCTGGGTAATTCTTTGTTGTGAGGGTTGTCTTGTGTATTGTAGGATGTTTAGCAACATCCCTAGCCTCTACTCCCTAGATGCCATTAATATCCCTTTCCCTGTAGTGACAACCAAAATGTATCCAGGTATTACCAAGTGTCACCTGAGGAGCAAAATCACCCAGGAGAGAACCACTGATTTCAAGGAAAATTATAATGATTAGACAGTTAATGCTGTTATTTTATAAATACCAATAAAACTGTATTTCACAATTACATTGACTTCTATGAATACTGGGTCTTTATTTTGTTAGGATATATCCAGGGACATTTAATAAATTGTTAAGTACACATGTATACATAAGGAAAAGTCAAAGTGGGTAGCATGGACTTTCCTCAGCCCAGACAACCCACAGAGCCTTCTCAGGAGTATGTGCAAGGCCCTGGAAGCTTGAATAAATCTTAGGTTGAGAGGTGAGTCATATCCTGTTCATCTTGGCTCAGGAGGGCAAGTCAATGAACTGATATTGCTAACGGCCAGGATGGCCTTGGCCATCTGGTGGTCTGAGTTCTCTCTCTTCCTGCTACATGTTCAGACTCTCAGGCTGCACTTGCTCTCTTTCTGTCCAATAGGTGTGCGTCTGTATGATAAGTGTGAGAAGCACAGGTTTAAGACAGTTACCTGGGGAGAGGGTTATAATCTGAACTGGGAATGTTAATTCATTAATGTTTCTCAATGTACATTCTTCCTCTCTTTTAACAAACTCTCTTTTACAAGACTCTCCAATTTACTTTCTGGAGAAGTATAAATGATGGAGTACTGAGATGTGAAAGGGTGGGGTTGCTCAAGAAGAGCATTACAGAAAGTTAGTCATGTTTTTCAGACAGGGCAACAGGCTCTTTCTAGAATATGGGGTAAGAGCAGTGACTTCTTTTTTTTTTTTTTTTTTTTTAAATGTATCTTTATTGTTGAAAGTATTACAGATGTCCCCTTTGTTTGAGAGCAGCGATCTCTATTCTGCAAGTGAGCCAAGGCCTGAAAGCTGAACCTCGGCCTATAAGAGGGAATGTTCTGAGATGCTGTACTAGGTGCAAACAGGATGCTTTTGAGAGTGTTTAAGAGGAGCTATTGTTAGTGAAGAAGCTGAACTGCACTGAAGGGTGGAACCAGAATTATGAAATATGTTCCAAGTAAACAAAAGATTTCTATGGACCAGAGCCCAAAAGACTTCAAGAAGTTTGTGCAGGCTAATATGAGACATAGGGGAGAATATTCAGGAAGCACCCAGAAAAATAATCTATTGATTATGATCCCGGTGCAGACTCTCGAAGTACAGACAACTGCATAATGTAAATTTCGGAATCTCAAAGGGAAGTCAGAGGTGAAGGGGGGTTTGGGGGAGGTGGGGAAAGGGGGAGGAAGGTAATCAACTAAGTCATCTGTGAATCAGGGCCAGAGACAGGAGCAGTTGTCCAGTACTTAGGAAAATGAGGGGAATTAGCTCTGAAAGGGAGAGACCCTTCAGAAAACTGGCAACCATGAAAATCCAACTTCAAAAGGACTAGTAGGTTGACGGTGGAGCTAAACATCAGAAGCCACCTAGACCACTTACTCCTAGAGCAGGAGTAAGGGTTAATCTCATTTCTATTATAGTGAGGCCAGAGAAAGCATCAGGAGTACCTTTTCTATGCCTGGAGAATGTATGGCTTCCTGGTGTTTAGTATCTGTGATTTAGCTTTGTTTGCTTGTTTATACCTGTATTCTAATTTGTATTAGAATAACAAACCTCTCCCAAACAAAGCTGGAATTTGGGATGGGGGAGGTGGACTTCTATTAGAAATGCCACAGAATAGAAGCCAGCAGCCTTGTGTTCTGTCGCCTTGCCAATTGGGGATAGGGGTCATCAGAAGAGTAGATGCTAGCAGAGAAAGAAGTTAAAGGACTAACGGCATATATAATCCCCTATGTAATGGAGCAGGATTGGAGGATTGAGGGAATTAGTGGCTGGCCCAAGACTAACAAATGACCCTGGGAGTTGAAGTGACAGGAGACCCTGAGGTGGAGTGTTTTAGAGAAGTACGTGGAGTCTGCTCAGATAATGACCTGAAAAGTATCCTCTGCATGGGATGGGGATGAAGTGCGACTAAGAAACAGGCCAATTGAGGAGAGGCTGAGCATTTGGAAGTGGGAGGTAAGACCTAGATAGGGAGATAGAACTACAGATGTCTCATGTACATGGGATACCCATGAATAAGAAATGCATATTTAGTCAAATTGGTAATGACCAATTTTGATTAATGCAATATTACTTCAGTGGTTGCAAAAAGTAGAAAGACAAGAAAAGGTACTTTCTAGTTAAGCAAATTAATGCTTGGAAAAACCATCAATCACAGCTGTCAGTGTGGAAGTTAACAAAAAACAAAGAAAGAAACAAACAAATTCCAGGTTACTGTTTGATAAATGATGATAGTTAGGTTAATGATGATAAATTACAGATAGTCACCCCATGCTTCTTAGTGAGATTATTAGTGTATTGAACTCTTAATGATTTCCTGGATCTCCACCCCAGGATTCCTGTAAGCCAAAGAGGCACAGGGTCAGAGAGTGAACAGGAAGGACAGAGGGTGATGTGTGGTTAACGGGCCCTGGTTTTTAGGTCTAAGGTGTGTAAGTGGCCTCTGTTAGACTGCATTGAACCCTCTGCAGAACCAAGGTGCTCTAGTGAGTAAAGTACCTATGGGATTGATGAATTTACTCACCAAGTGATAATTCGTTACTAAGAGGAGATATGAGCTGAATTTACACATGAAATTAGCCTTGAGTTATCATTTATATGAATCATGGGCAAGATCAGTTGAAAATAAATATATATTCACCTGGCACTGTCTTTGGTACATTTTCAGTTCCTGTAAGAGCTTCTGATTTTCATCTTGTAACTTATTCCGGCTTAATGCTATTTCACTCACAGCTGATTTTAGTTTTTCAATAATGAACTCATCTCTTCCACTCGTTTCACAACTAGCATCTGGTTCACATATCAACCGAGGAATTTCAGAGCTGCTGTCCCCTTCCATGAACTGCTTTTTACCATTTAGTTGAGTTTGGTAACTTTGTGCCTGTTTCTGGGGAAGAGGAAAATTGTGAAAATGAAATGGAGAATGTCATATGTAAGTTTACATAAAGAATGATAGAGCCCTGGCCTGTGTGGCTCAGTTGGTTGGAGGTTGTCCCAAATACTGAAAGATTTCAGGTTCAATTCCTGGTCAGGGCATATACCTAGGTGGTGGTTTTGATCTCCAGTCAAGGCATGTATGGAAGACAATCGCTAGATATTCTCTCACACCAATACTTCTCTCTCTTTCTCTCTCTAAAATCAATAAGCATATCCTTGAGTGAGGAAGCTCAACAATGATTTCTAGGATTTTTAATCTAGCAAAAGTTAGTATCTAAAGATTTTTTTTTAAGTTTCAAAAACTTTAATAAAGACAAAAAAGACACTTTCAAAAATAAATGCTACACCAAAAATGTGTATAAAAAAGTGAAAACTATTCATGAAACAAAACCCCTCACTATCAAAATATGCTAACATGTACATTCTAATGATGTTGAATGTTCAAATTCTAGGAGAATGCAGCTTGTAATAATATAACTAGTAGTGTTCTTCATGATATACCTGTACAAGACATCCCTTACTATAATTACTTTTTAAATCTATATTTTCTTAAACGTCCATTTCACAATTCATTTAAATATTTTACATTCATTTATAAAAACATACTTTCTAACAGTGGGTTAATTGGTGTTTTAATAATAATGAACCATGGTAAAATACTTCAGTGATTTAAATGTTTTAGTAATGACTACAGCCATCACAGATTCTTGCACACTTATACAGCTACTGCATAATCAGAAGAGCTAAAGATATTTGCTACAATATTGTAATAGCATAAAAGTAGAAACAACCTGAATGTATATCAATAAAGAAATGATTGAAAAAATATCTATTATATACTATGGTATGTAAGATATATCTACTATATACTATGGAATACTATGCAGAATTAAGTAGAATTTTAAGTAGTAAATCAAAATAATATCTAGGATTATTTATTATATAAAAATAAAAAATTTAAAAGGAAAAAATGTGACTTCCACACAAATACATTTTTTACATGTTTGTACAAACAAAAGAAAAAGTAGTACATATAATTCAAATAATTTAAAGAAAGAATGAAAAATAAATATATCAACCAAACAATAGTTTCTTATTGGCTTTTTTTTTTTTTAAACTTCACCGAGGATATTTTTCCAATGGTTTTTAGAGAGAGTGAAAGAGAGAGAGAAAGACAGAAAGAAATATCCATGTGAGAGAAACACATCAATTGGTTGCCTCCTGCATGAGCCCCAACTAAGGCCCAGGCCAGGGAGGAGCCTGCAACTGAGGTACTAGCCCTTGACTGGAATCAAACCCAGAATCCTTCAGTCTGCAGGCTCCATCTACTGAGTCAAACCAGGTAGGGCCTTATTGACTTTAATGAAAATTTGAAATTCCTTAGCCAGGCATTAAAAAAGTATTGCAATCCAACTCACCAGACTTACTCCCCAGTACCTTTCCCCACCTCCCCTATGGACTCCCAGCCAATTGACCCATTTTTCATTCCCAAATTTGCCTTTTGCTCTTGCCTCAGTGACTTTGCCCCTGTTATTTCTGCCACCTAGAATATATCATGTCTTGTCTCAGAACTTATCCATTCTTCCAGGTTCAGGCTCAGTCCGACCCCTGCTGGAGGATGTTTCCTGGCTGAGTCCAAATTTTTCTCTTACTCCTTTGACTTCTAAAAGGATTTTGATTCTTTCTATTCATTTGTCATTGTTATCTGTAAATAAGGACGTGCATTATCTCTGTGTTTAAACTGTAAAGTTCTTGAGGGCCCGGACAAAACAACTCTAGACTTTTTAAGTGACTTGCCCATGGGCATGCAAAAACATACCATAGTAACAATGAGCACTTCTAATAGCACCATCTTTTGAGACATGTTAGACTAAACTCATCGTTATAGATATTTCATGCACTTTAACCAATGTTAGGCCTGCTCTGATAATTTTCTATTAGTTGGCATTTCTACTTGTAAAAAGATTACAAGCCGAATGACAAAGATAGCAGCAATTAACCTCTAATTCCTTCTCATTCAGAGGATAGTATTAATGTACCTGAAATTGATTGCACTTCTCAGACAATATTTTTTGTTGAGCATCTAAAGAAACCAGATGAGACTGATATAGTATCTCTTGCTTGTCCCATTCTCTTGATTTTGTTCTAAATTCCTTTAAAAAGAAAGTGGAGGGACAAACATAAATTGGAGAAAATTATTCATTTTAAAGCACAATGAACAGGGCTTCTTTCATTTGTACATCTTCATTTTGAGAAAAAAATAAGTCCGTTTTCCGCCCATTAGAAAAACAAAAAAGTATCAAATCACTCATCTTGGATTTATTGCTAGATAAATATTAATTTTTACTAGGAATTTGTATAAAAATTAAGCAATATATATATATATATATATATATATATATATATATTACTAATAAGGAAGTTTCAAGCAACTTTTTGCATCCAGTATTTCCTTTTTTTTTCCCGAGCTAACATCAGTCACGAAACCTGCTCCTTGTTTTTTCTATGGGACGGGGGTTTGGACTGATTTAGTCACTGTCCCTGTGGCTTTCAAAATGTGAAGCCAGGATCAACTTATCTATGGGAACAGACTCTCAGGCCTCATGTAGGCAGCACCAGCTGGGCTAGCTTGGGGAAGAAGTGTGGAACCAGCTTGATACAGCAAGCTCAGTTCTTCAAGTTTTTGCTCAAATAGTGTATTCAGGGAGCTTGATTATCTGTTAGTAACTTAACTCTAAGCTATGGCTTTGGGAATGCCAAAGAAGACTTCACTGCTCCTCAGTTTTGCCTCCGGTTGGCCATTATATCTTACCTTCCTATCTGGGCGGTAAGCAACTTAAGGGGAAGGCCTACTTATTTCTTTCCTTTTGTGTTCCTCATGATGCCTGACAAAGTGCCAGACACCACTTATATTCCATGAACACACAAACAAAAGCATGGCATTAATAGTTCCTAGAATTTAAGCATGTCTCACTAAATTCTGCAAAGAAAACAAAATGTTTGGAAACAAACTCTATAGCTACTCAGTAGAGTCTTGGACCATATATCATTGCATATAGATACATGGCATGAATGTGTTGATGTTTTCAATGATCAATTCGGTAGTTTTTATTAAGCGCCTAGTGCCAACCAGGTACTGTGAGGAGAAGAGAATTTGGAAATATTTCATGATTAAATTTTTTTCCAAGAAATCAAGGACTATGTAGTAAAGTAGGGAAATGTACATGTAAGTAAATAATTGTACAGTATAAGTGCAATATCAGTGGAACATAAAAGCCATGCAGAGGATGTCGATTATTTCAGCCATCTCCAAAATATGTCAGATTGGAATTTGACATATTATTGGAGATGGCTGAAATAACATTTGGTCAGAGTGATTGGTGTTATTTTGGGAGCTGGCTAAAATAACTGGGTTGGCTATGGTTGGAAAGTAAATTTACTTATTTAGAGAATGAAAGCTATATTTTAAGATGAAAAGGAGATAGAATTGCATATTTTCCATAGAGACTTGATTTTAAAGGACATTTGGGAACTTTTTTATTTTATAAATCCACGAGTTCCAAAATAATCAGTGAAGAAAGCCTATAAAGTAGGAGGCTTTTATAGTAACTAAAGGTGACCTGAGATTGAATGGTGGTTATAAGGTTGGAGAAATATGGATAGACCCCCTTTTAAAATATAATAATACTTTATGATAAATGGACTACAGTTGATGCTTGAACAATATGGATCTGAACTTCTTGGGACAACATACACATGGATTTTTTTCCCAATAAATAATGCAAATGTATTTTCTCTTAAGGTTTTCTTAACTTTTCTTTTCTTTACCTTCTATTGTAAGAATACAGTATATAATACATATAACATATAAAACATGTATTAATCAACTACTTGTGTTATCAGTAAGGCTTCTGGTTAACAGTAGGCTATTACCCTGTTTCCCTGAAAATAAGACAGTGTCTTATATTAATTTTTTCTCCCAAAGTTGCGCTGGGTCTTATGTTCAGGGAATGTCTTATCTTTCCATACGCTAGGTCTTATTTTCGGAGGATGTCTTATTGTTGAGGAAACACAGTAGTTACATTATGGGGAGAGTCAAAAGTACATGAATTTTTGGCTGCAAGGGGTGAGGGTCAGCACTTCCACTCCCTAGTTGTTCATCAGTCAATTATATATTAAAGTAAACGAAGACAGTTTATTTAAAGTTATTAACTTTGATTCTGACTTTTGACAACTTAAAATTTGGTACATGAAAACAGTATCCTTAGTAATAGTGCTAAATTTATAAAACTTGGTTCTAGTAGAAAATAGGCAATATTTCAAATCAATACAAGGCACAAAAATTGATGTTTACTTTTATCCCAAAAAGGGGCCTTTGAAGTCAGAGGTAAAAATATTGGCAAGGTAGATTTAGATATTTCATATCTTTCAGCTAATACTAATATTTAGCACCACTTACCCAACAACCTCACTCTTGAAAATAAGTATTTCCTAACATGCTTTAGGAGACAGGAGCAACGACCTCATTCACTTACAAATTCTACAATGGATAGAAATGAGGCCAAGCAAGGCTAGAAATGTGTCACAGACACATCAGCAGGTCCTGGCTTCCTTGGTCTCACAGCTGGATTGGCTTCAAGATTAGCTATAAGTACCAACGATCCAGTACCTATGGGCCAGAAGAGACCTGGAGAGCTTGAAGAGGATTTTGTAGGGACTGGTGGTCAGCTCAGGTTCCAGAGTCTGTAGACATGCTTGAACCTTCTGAGGAAATTTTCCATGGCTGGAAAGCCTTTTCTAGGTCTTTAAAGTTGAGAGTGGGTCAGGGTTATTAAAATGAAAGTTTCTATTGGAAGCTACATTATTTTATTTATATGTTATTTTACATATTTATATACACACACATATATATACACACACATATATATGCATATATATTTTAATCCTCACCCAATAGTATTTTTTCATTGAATTTTAAAGAGAGTGGAATAAGGGGGAGAGTGAGAAATATCGGAAACATCGATGTGAGAGAAACACATCGATTGGTTGCTTCCTGAACTTTCCAACCAGGGCCCAGGCAGGAGAAGAGCCTAGCCTGCAACCAAGATACATACCCTTGACCAGAATCAAACTCAGGACCCTTTGGTCTGTAGGCGGATGCTCTATCCACTGAGCCAGGGCTATACACATATATTTTAATCCCTCTACTAAACATTAAGAAATGGAACATTTCCTTAGTAAATACTGTATGTCAAGGACTCTACAAACCTCCACCTATAAGATAGTTTTAACTTTTTATTATGAAAAGTTTCATTACTTATATAAAAGTAGCAAGTATAACAAACTTCCATGTACCCTTCACTAGTTTAATTACCATTGGTTTGGTCTCTTTTTATTTCACCTCTCTTAATACTTTTTTGTTGGGAGTGTTTTAAGACAACACCCAGACCTCATGTATTTTCACCCCTAAATGTTTCAGCACACATCCAAATTAATAGATGTAGATTTATTACATCTATTTATATTTAAAATATAAATACTTAAATATATTTTCTTTCATAACCACAATGTCACCTATAAGGTATTTTCAGTCCCATATATTGATGATAAAATGGAATCTCTGTGAGGTTAACAACGTGCCCAAAGGTCACAGGGCAAACACTAGTCAGTCGTGACCTGCTTTAAGCTGTATACTGTCCTGTTCTATTGGAGCCCGCTGCTTCCCATTGCTCTATTATCTAGCAGCGTATAAATGTTTGTCTAAAGGGAAAAGCTTAGTTGCAGACTGAAACTGAACAGCCCGTCTCCTACATATTAATTTTTCGCATGGCTCTAGGTAAAAAAAAAGTTGTGTGAAGTGCTTCCATAATTTTACAAATTAAACTGAATCTACATAGTGTTCCTAAAAACTTTTGAACAAATACAAATGTCATATTTTTTTTTACTAATTTCCGCTATAATTTTATGATATATTTTATGTTAGTGTTTAGTCTCCAAAATGTAAAAAGTGTACACATAAAGTAGTTAATATTAATTGAAGGTTTTCTTTGTCTGAACAATTTATACGAATGTGGTTCTCCCACTATCCCGCATGAGAGTCATCAATCAGATGGACCAGCAGTGGCGGGATTTCCGGGAAAGCACAGGTGCCCACAGTGTCCATCGTTAGCCGTCTCCCAGGAGACTAGTCTGTTTCCTAGGCCAGTTCAGTTACCCCACTGCAAGAGCCGGGGGTTATGCATGCTGCATTTTCCTAGAGGCTCAACTTTACTTAGTGGTAGTCATTTTGTATTAAAAGTGTATGTTCATTATTTAGTAGAATATAAAATTTGCACGAATTTAAAAACTCAAACCCCAAACTTCCAACAATGCTATTGTAATAGACTGGTTTTAGGGCTGTAATCCAAGATTTTTTTTTTCTGTTCTTAAAAATATTTAGGAGGAGACATGGTCAGTTTCTCAGTGGTTAGAGCACCAACCTGTGCAATGAAGGGTCTCATGTCTCAGGTGTGAGGGCATGTACCTGGGTTGCAAGTTTGATTGCTTCACTCCCCCCAGTTGGGGCATGTGCAGGAGGCAACCAATGGATGTGTCACAACTCTCTCTCTCTCTCTCTCTTTCTCTTCCTCCCTCTCTCCCTCCCTCCCTATTAAAAACCACCAATGGGAAAAAAAAATGCCCTCACTCCTTTTGTGAGGATTAAAAAATATATGTATTTGGGAGGAAAATTTAAGGATTGGTAATTGAAGAATGAGGTGATCAAGTATCAAACCAGGCAATGAAATTCAGAAAGAAGGAACAGGAGATGAGAGGCACTGGACAAAGGAAAGGGGAAAACCTGAGCTAGAACGTGAGGAATAAGAGAAAGGACTTGTGGGAGATTCCTAAGAGCTTCCTGCCTGAGAGATTGGAGGTGCGGAACACCATCCACAAGGAGAAGAAACTGAAATTCTTGGCCGGGGGAGGGCGGGTAGCCTGGGTTTGGGCTTGAGAACAATGGAAGACACTGAGTGAGATTACAGGATAAGGGTCAACTGGAGGTGAATTAGAAAACAACTGAGCACGGGAACTCCTCTGATGTCAGGGACTAGGACTTGGTAGCAGAATCTCTATCTGCTGTTACATGACCGCAAGAGCACAGGGAAGGAAAGCAGCTGGCTTATTTTTTCCAAGGCCAGGAAGTTGAGGGGAGGAGAATGAGTGCGTTCTGTGACATATTGATATAGTAGACCTTTCAAGGGATGGAGGTTTTAAACATTCTAGGTCCGTGTTCAGCAAACTGCGGCTCGCGAGCCACATGCGGCTCTATTGGCCCCTTGAATGTGGCTCTTCCACAACATACCATGGCCTGGGTGAGTCTATGTTGAAGAAGTGGCGTTAGGAGAAGTTTAAAAAATGTGGCTCTCAAAAGACATTTCAATCGTTGTACTGTTGATATTTGGCTCTGTTGACTAATGAGTTTGCCGACCACTGGACTAGGTGATGTGTGATAGCTACACTGGAGTGGCGCTACCTCTTTAAAGAAAAAGTCCTGACACTTCACACTCTGTTCTGAAAACTGTTGTGGGGCTTCACTGGGATTTAATACCTGATCATTAAGTAGGAATTAAAAGATTTATTAGATGTTCGCTCTAGCAGACCCCAGGGATGTCCTTCAATTTCACTGAACATCTGCAGTTTCTTTTAACTTTTTTTTTTTCTTTCCAAAAATGCTGATATGTGTAAAAGTTGAATAAATCAAAGTGCCTGAGTGGAAGGTACACTATGAAAATGTATTAAATGAGAAGTTGATCTGTAATGGTGTTCGTTGCCATAGCTGTACATGCCGTGTGTACACTAGAGACAAAGAGCCCCTCCCCCCACCGCCACCTCAGTGAAAATCAATCTTGAATACACGTGAAGACACTAAGAAAATATAGCTCACCTCTAATTTCTGGTTCAAATTACTTGGTTCAAAAGGTGTTTCTTCTTTGAGATGTGGTGACTCTTTTCGTCGAAATTTACTCTGTTTCATCTGGTGTAATCTCAGTTTTTCAAAGCTATTTGTTAGTTTGGAAAACTGTAAATAATAGAGAATGCTATTACGTTACGATTATTGGTAATTCCTAACTTGATTTCACCAGAGTTCTTTTCTCGTGTACCTTTTTGAAAATTTAAGTCATGATTAGAAAATGCAGTAAAGCTTAAATGTCCCAATTAGTGCAAACAGAACCAGTTATTAAAACTGAGTTATTGAAGCAGAACACAATTCAGCTCCCAGGTAAATTTGGGAGTTCATTAACTGCACAATTAAACAGTGGCTCCCGTGATAAATGTTTTGTTCAGTTTAGCTTAACCATATGTATAGTAAAGCTCATAATTTTAAAAAGTTTTTTCCTTATTTTTATTTAGTGCCATCTTATACTGTCAGTATCTCAATCTAGAAAACAACCAACTTATGCTTTATTCAGGAAAATGGAATACTGAATTTAAAAGATAGAAACAACAGAAATTACTAATTCATGTTGATATAAGCCTAAGGAAATTTAAATATCAAAATTGGTATATTTCTCTTACCAAGAATTCTTTTTATAATTTAGACTATTATATTTTCGTTTCTTTTCCTAGCGTCAAATAATAAATTAAAACAGCGTGGTTTATCAACATCTGTGAGGAAATTTCTGTATGTTTACAAAAGATTTTTTTTTTGTTTTTACTTTTTATTTACAAATAATTGTAGATTCACAGGAAATTACAAAGATATTACAGAGAGGTTCTGAATCCTCTTCATCCAGTTTCTCCCAGTATTTACATGTTAATGAACTATCCTATATAATAAAAGACTAATATTCAAATTGTCCCCTCTACCGGAAGTTCGACCAGGGGGCAGGGCCAGCCGACCCCACCAGTGCATGAATTTGTACACCAGGCCTCGAGTGGTACAATATCAAACCCAGGAAAATGACATCAGTCCAATATATGTGGGTAGTTATGTGCCATTTTACCACCCATGTAGACTTGTGTGGCCACAACCACGGAGCCAAGATCCAGAACCATTCCACCACCATCAAGATCTCCCTGGTATCCTTGTAGTGACCTCAACCCTTACCCCCCACCTCCAACCACGGGTAACCACTAATTTGTTTTCCAACTCTAAATTTTTGTCATGTTGAGAATGTTATAAAATAAAATCAAACAATACATGGCCTTTTTACCCAGCATAATGCCCTTGAGATGTGTGTGTAACCAATAGCTTAATTATTTTTATTGCCCATTACAATCCCATGACATGAATGTAACTACACTTTTTTCAATCATTCACATATTGGGACATTTGGCTTATTTCCAGTTTTGGATGTTATAAACAAGGCTATGGATGATGGCTACTTTATTGAATTTTAAGTAGTCCCTTCTGCTTTCTTTTTTTTTTCTCATATAATTAAAAAAAATTAGATAGAATCCACCCTAAAATTCACCCTTTAAACTATATAATTTATTGGTTTTCACTTATGTTCGCAAAATTGTGCAACCATCACACTAATTTCAGAACATTTTTACCGCTGCAAAAAGAAATGCCATACCTATTCATAGTGACTACACATTTCCTCCTTCTCCAACCCCTGTAACTACTGCAGTCCACTTTTTGGGTTTATAGATTTGCTTGTTCTGATCATGTCATCATGATGGAATCAGCCAATACATGTTCTTTGGTGTCTGGCTTCTTTCTCCTAGCAAAATGCTTTCAAGGTTCACCCATATTATAAAATGGATCAATAAATACTTTGTTCCTTTTTATGGCTGAATAATATTTCATTGCATGGACTTACCACATTTGTTCATCTGTTCATTCATTTATGAACATTTGGGTTATTTCCACTTTTTTTGATATTGTGAAAAATGCTGCTCTCAACATTTGTCCAGGTTTTTGTATGGACATATGTTTTTATTTCTCTTATGTATATACCTAGGAGTAGAACTGCCAGGTCATATGGAAACTCTAAGTTTAACTTTTCAAGGAACTGCCAAATTGTTTTCAAAAGTGGCTGAATCATTTTCCATTCCCACTGGCAATATATAGGGTTCCAGTTTTCTATATCCTCATTGCACTTGCTATTGTCCATCTTTTTTAGTATAGCCACCCTCATGGGTGTGGAGGGATTATCTCATTGTGGTTTTGATTTGCATCTCCCTCATGACTAATGATGCTAAGCATTTCCACGTGCTTACTGGCCATTTCTATATCTCTTTTGTAGACATGTCTATTCATATCCTTATTTTTAAATTTTGTCAATTGTCTTTTTATTGTTGACAAGTTATTTTTAGAATTTGGATTCTGGTCACTTATCAGAGCTATAATTTGCAAATGTTTTCTTCCATTTAGTGTGTTGTCTTGACTTACTTTATGGTGTCCTCTGAAGCACAAAGGTTTTTCAATTTTGAACTTTTCTTGTGCTTTTGGTGCCAAATCTAAGATTCCGTTGCCTAAGGCAAAGTTAGAAATATTTACTCCTAATGTTTTCTTTTAAGAGATTTACAGATTTAGTTTTCACATTTAGGTCTTTGATCCTTTTTGAGTTATTTATTTATTTATTTATTTATGGTTTAGGAAGGGCCCAACTTGATTCTTTTGTATTTTGTGGATATTCAGTTGTATCTTTTTTGTTTGTTAAAAAGATAATAGTCTCTTCCCACTGAGTTATCCTGGTGCCACTTTTAATTAATATTTGCCTGGTATGTTTTTCTTTTTACTTTCAATGTATACCCATAGTTCTATTTTAAGTGAGTTTCTGGAATAGAGAATAGGGTTGTGTCATATTTTTAAAATTTACTCTGTCATTCTCCATCTTTTAATTGGTATATTTAGACCGTTTCCATTTAATGCAATTATTGATATTAGGACTTACGCCTGATTTGTTTTGTTTAATTCTCCAGATTTTTGTTTTGTTACTGGGCTGCCTACCTGTGGCTTTGTCTAATAACGAAGGCAGGACTGAATCATGTAAGGCATTTATTGAGAAGGCTAGCCAACCAAGAAGATAGGGCACTTACAAGCATTCAAGTCCTGCCTTACAGTAAGGTGCAGGGGACAGGTTTATAAAGGGGAAGAGGCTGGGATGAGGCTGAAACAGATGTCAGCTATTGTCCTTTATCATCGGGCGATGAGATGATGTTTTGACTCCCGCTGGGTCAGCCTGACCATGCTTATCGGTTCTGCTTGCTGGATTCACAGCTATGTCACTCCTTAGTTGCTTCGCACGGGCCTTAAAAAGGAAACTTAAGAAAAACGTAACCCCCTATTCACATAAGTATATCTGTTCTAAGATTTAAAATAATATGATTATTTTTCAGATTAATTAAAGTGCTCTATTCTATAATTATAGGGGCCCTCCTATCAGTTTCTCTCTTCATTTTCGTGTCTCCATCTGGGTTAATTTACATTTTTTCTTTTTTTAAAATTCCATTTTAAGTTACCTATAGTGTTGAATATAACTCTGTATCGCTTTTTAAGTTGTTGCTCTAGATACTATATGTACATTGTTAACACAAATCTCGGTGGTGTTGCGATTTTGCCAGTTCATATGAAGTAAAGAAATGGTATTTGTTTTTATGCCTCTTTACCCTTTTATAACATTATTTATAACATTATTGTCTTAAGTATTTCCTCATCATACACTAAGAGCCACATTAGACATTGTTTACATTTTTTCAGCTGTCAACTTAGAAAACTCAAGGAAAGTCTATGATATTTAACCATGTTTTTACTCTTTCCAGTGTTTTTTCTTTCTTCCTGATGTTTCAGGATTCTTTTTCATTTCATTTCTGCTAAAAGTACTTCCATTGGCCATCGTTTCAGTGTAGGTACATTGGTGACAAATTCTCTTAGTTTTCCTTCATTTGAGAATGTCTCAGTTTCCCTTCATTCTGAGAGACAGATTTCTTGGACATAGAATTTGGGTTGATATTTCTGTTCTTTCAGAAATTGAAAAATATGCTACTTCTTTCTGGCCTCCATGGATTTGGATGAGAAATCTACTACCTGAATTGGTTTTTCCCTACAGGTATGATGTTATTTCTCTCTTGATGCTTCCAAGGTATTTTCTTTGTCTTTTAGTTTTCAGAATTTTGACCATGAGGTGTTCTTTTGGTGGAGGTGTCTTTGGGTTTATCATGTTTCACTAAGTTTCTTGAGTCTGTAAGTTTATATCTTTAGCCAAGTTTTGAAACTTTTCAGCCATTGCTTCATTGAATACTTTTTCATTCACATCCTGCCCTCCTTTCCTCCTGAGATTCTGATGACACAGATCTTCAATTTTTTTGTATAGTACAAGTGTTCTGGAGGTTAATTTTCTGTTAATCTATTTTCTCTCTGTTGTTCAGATTGGGTAATTTCTATTTTTCTATTTGCAAATGATTGTTTTCTCTATTTTCTCCATTCTGCTTATAAGCCCACCCATTGAGTTTTTTTTTTTTTTTAAGTTTGGTTATTTTTTTCAGTTATAAAATTTATAATTGGTTGTCCCTTATAGTTTTACTTCTATGATAAAATTTTCTACTTTACCATTTGTTTCAAGTATGTTTGTAAATTGCTCATTGAAGCATTTTTATACTAGCTGCTTTAAAATCCTTGTCAGGTAATTCTAACATCTGTTTCAACTCAGTATTGCTATCACTTGATTATCTTTTCTCATCTAAGATCTTTCTGGTTCTGGTAAAATGAGTGATTTTTTTTTTAATTGAAACCTATACATTTTGGGGTATTGTGTTATGACACCTTGGATTTTATTTAAGTACTAGAGGCCTGGTGCACAAAATTCGTACACTGGGAGGGGGGGTAATTCCCCAGCCTGGCCTGTGCCCTCTGACAGTGTGGGTGCCCCGCAATCCATTGCTCCAAAGAAATAGGCCCCGCCCACCCATCCGGGTTCCTTGACGGACTGCCCCAAAGAGGTAGGCCATAGCTGGGGGTCCCGCCTCTTTACCACCCATGCAGCGTCAAGCCCCTGCCCACCCACACACATGCAGCACCGTCCACCGGCTGCTGCACACCCTCATGGCGATCACTTGTTGCAGCATGAGGGCATCACAACATGAGGGCGTGACGACCACATTGGCCTTTATTAATAGGATTGTGCTTTAGCAGTCCTCTTCTGATAACATTCCAGCAGGGAAAAGGGCATTCTACATCATTACTGCCAGCTGGCAGTGGAAATCTAGGTCGTGGCCTTAGATGGTAACTCGGGAAAGGTGTTCCTTGTTGATGTTGAGTGGCAGTGGGACTTTAGGTTGAGGCGCACAGGTGCCTTGTGACTGCTTCTCACACAGCCTTCAGGGATACTGCAGTGAGGTTAGGTAGCGTTGTTACCTCTGAGGGGTGGTGAGCAACCTGACTCCTCATTAGGCTTCCCCATACCACTCCAGGGAGGAGGAGGAGGCATGCGTCATCACCAGCAAGTGAGCATAGGAATCTAGGCTCTCACATGGTCTCCACGGACACTGGGGGTTGTGTGTGTGGGGGTAAGGGAGGGGGCTTTGTTAGTGCCCAGTGGTAATGAAATTCCTGGCTCTTCACTCAATCTTCTTTGATGCCTCCCAGACAAAAGAGGGTCTGGGTTGGGCTAGTCTGTCTACTGAGTCTCTGCTGGTGGGATGAGTTTCGGGGTTGTAGTCTTTTTTTTCTGGCGTGTTTGGCTGCAGTAATCATGTTTAATCTTGTGAGGCTGTCTTTTGGCTGAAGAGAGGAGTCTTTCTTTGGGGCTCTTTTTGTTTGTGGCCATCGGAGTGTCTAGGACTCAGGGGTCGGCAACCTTTAATACATAAAGAGCCACTTGGACCCGTTTTCGAAGGAAAAAAAAAACACCTCGGAGCCGCAAAACCATTGCGACATAAGTGATACAGCTCCCCGCCCCGCCCTGCTATCTGCCCTGCTAGTGTCGGACCTGCTGGGGGCCGCAGCAAAGGTTCAAAAGAGCGGCATGCGGCTCCGGAGCCGCAGGTTGCCGACCCCTGGAGGTTGTCAGCTTCCCTGTTACTCAGTCTGGGACATAAGAGGCCAATAGAAGTCCCAGGGAACTCACTATCATGTTGTTCCACGGGTCCCATGGTTCTAATTGTCTGTCTCTTCTCTTTCCTTCTCAGAGTCAATTAGAAACCCAGGACATAAATAATGTCCTGGGTTTCTAGTTGCATTTAACAGGACAGACAGGGAAAAGTAAATCCCCTCCATGTTTATACAAATGGAAATCTCAAAAAATTATACATATCACAATTTTATTATGGTTAGAAGGAAAAGAAAATATCCCCTTAAAAAAAAAAAGCAATTTCTATAAGAAAGCTTTGGCAGAGTTGAGCTATTCAAAGGCAGAGTGCAGTAAAGTGTATCCTTAAGGTATTTTAGAAAAATGAAATTCTAAATAAACTAGGAATTTCAAAGAAGGAAGCAGGAGAGTGAGCTAGCGACAACAAAAGCATGTTTGCCACAAGACAGCCTTTTCTGGTTTAAAGAAATGACATGTTACTAGCTAGTATACAAACCAAGTCAGTACATAGTACTTTTTTCTCTTTGTCTTTTTACTTCCTTCCCTCTTTCTGTCTCTTCTGTTCTCCCTCCCTAATTCTCTTCTTTCCATTCTTTTAACCAGAGAAGACAAGAGAAGCAGAAAACAGCAGTGGGAGCAGATGGCTCGACAAAGAATGTAATGTTTCCAAAGTGTGTTTTATGAACACCTGGTTATGGCGTTTACGTTGTAATACTGTGCTACAGTGTTAGTATGCTTGGGCTTAAAAATAAAAAGGGTTTCATGGTCAAATATGGTTGGAGAATGATGGATTAAAAAGGCTACATGCATGTGTTAAAGCAGGACTTCTCACAGCGCCTAACATGCTAATATGCACTGTGACTATTCAGGAGCAGAGGAGTAGACATTTCCTAAACTCTCAATATTAGTCTTTCACAGGACAAATTCATGCGACATTGCAATGAAGATATTTGTTGGTTAGCCAGTAGTCAAGCAAAGCATCAAATGTCTAGGTTCATATACTAAATGACTGTTCAATACTTGTAAACAAGGCCCCAAACATTTTAACCACAGGCTTAAGAAAAACATGCAAGAAATTAAAGACTTGGCAAGCATTACTGAACTCGTGAAATATAATGTAGAGATCATACTCAACTTGTATCTATATTTGCAAACTTATTCCAGATCAGTTATGGAGATTTCATATTCATGTTGCAGATTTAGAGTTTTATCTTTATAGAAAATGCAAGGTTGATTCACGTGTTAAATGTTTAGTTTTAGCAAGGAAAAGCCATGTTTCATAATTCAAGCCACCACCTAGTGGCAGCTACTTAAATTGCAGGCAAAATGTCTAAGACTGATAAGATCATACCTATTATGTGGCATCAAATGTTTCATATTCCAATATTAATGGCTGGTAACCTCCCTAAAAAAGGTACTTAAGGTAGAGTATTAGCTACTTTGGGCTCCTTTTACTATATTATCATTTGTGAAATGTTTTCACTTTAAAAAATGTCGGTTGTACAATACAATTTCATGACCAAAGCATATTTTCCATTGATTTATTTATGACGTAAGCAAGGAGGTATCATCTACTAGACCTGAGATGCTCAGATGATTGTCACCCTATGTGTTATCTGGATTGGGAAGAGAAGACTGTTCTCTAGCCAGAGGAGATATGGGAATAAATAAGAAGGAAAGCAGTATGCTTCTCATTATATGCAGAGCCCTATCATTTCTGAAACAGCCTCCCAGTAACAAAGTAATAAAACCCAGTTTTGTTCTTTCAATGATCTATTTCATATTAGCAAATGTGCATATTTTAAACTGCCTTAGAAAAAGGATTTCCCTATGAGGGAGTAATTACTCCAAAATACTAATTATGTTTTTAGTGTTGTTGTTCACATGGCTATATATTATATAACTAGAGGCCCGGTGCATGAAATTTGTGCGCTGAAGGGGTGGGGGGCATCCCTCAGCCTGGCCTGCACCCTTTTCAATCTGGAATGTCTTGGGATCAGGCCTAAACAGGCAGTTGGACATCCTTCTCCCAATCCGGGACTGCTGGCTCCTAACTGCTCATCTGCCTGCCTGCTTGATCACCCCTAATCACCTCTGCTTGCCAGCCTGATCGCCCCTAACTGCCCTCCCCTGTTAGCCTGATCACCCCTAATTGCCCTCCTTTGCCAGCTTGTCACCCCTCACTGCTCTCCCTTGCTTACCTGATAACCCCTAAATGACTCTGCCTTAGCCACTGCCACCGTGGCTTTGTCTGGAAGGACGACCAGATGACTGGAAGATATCTGGTTTATCTGGTCTAAGTAGCATATTACCCTTTATTAGTATAGATTAATCAACAAGCCATTTGATAAACAGAAAGCTATCAGTCTAGGAGTATGCTAGTAGTTAATGAGATACAGAGCTGACAACCTAATAAAAGACAAAATCAACGCCTGTGCAGCAATGAAAGACAGAGCCCAACGTATAACCTCCAGTTAGAATATAAGAACTTTTGCTTGCACTTAAAACAATCCATTTTAATAAAATCAACACAATTTTTATAGGTCAAAACATATATCAAAATGTGTGATATTGAATGAACGAGTCTCCTTACTTGAGCTTTTAAGGTTTGCAGTTGTCCTTCATAATTCTGTGTCATTGCTAAGTTACATTTTTCCAGAGTGTCCAACTTCTGTCTAAGTAATCCCACCTGCATTAAGAATAAAATTTAATTTTGATTTTGCTAAATTTTGCCTGACAAAGTTAAAAAAAAATGTGCAAGAGAGAGGTACAATTCAAATAAAACTGCTGTGCCAAACCAAGGATACTAAATATTTGTACTAAAGTGCTTAAAATAGCCATTAATAATTAAATTCACAAGAAACAAACATTGCTGGCGCTATTCCACTGGGCACACATCGGGACAGCATGGTCTGGATGTTTGACAGGAGATCCTCAGCACCTCCCATTTCACAGGAAGGTGTGGAATTGCCTTTGCACTGTCTTCTTGGCAGGCTTATGTTATCGGTACTTGGGCAGAAGCTCTACCGACACACTTCAGCTCTTCCTTTAAGCCCCACTGCCTTCCATGGGAGCTCTGCTTTGGCAGGACGATGGAATAATTGTTACATTTTTATAAGAACTAACATATGAAAAAAAAGTGTCTACCAGAATTTGGCTTACAGAATTTGCTTGAAAGCAGGAGGGGCATCTATTTACACATCTGGGTCAGTACAGGTGTGGCACTGAGGGAATAGGCCCCGCACATGTCCCGTGAAGGGAAACCAGAGCCAGTAACTCAGTTAACTACACCAAACAATGACATCGTTAGCTATGCCAGAAACCAGATTCCGTGAGAGGCCTACGAGGTAGAAAAGTGGCTGCTGAACACATTGACCATATATGATTAGTAAAGATTTCTCTTCTGCCTCGCCCAAAGGAAAGATCCACAGACACCAAGGTCCACCTTCGATAAAGCATGTGGTTTTCCTGAACTCCTCTGCAGACCTGAGAGCATCACACATTCTGCTACAACCTCAGCAGCCTCCAGGGGCTGAGGGCACGCCTCGTGAGTGGGTGCCAGATGCACACACACCCCTCCCCACCACACACACACACACACACACACACACATCCTTCACCAAACTCTTGACATCTCACTTCTTTTAGGACATACTAGTATTTTTCTAGTGGATTAGAAAGTACCAATGCTCTTGAACTCTGCCTTGTCCAAGGATCCAGCTTTGACAACTATGTTTCTACAGCAGCAAAAGCACTGACATGTTACCTTGCCAGCAATATTCATTGCACCCACGTACTGAGTGTTTACTTCTCTAAATGGCATTGATACTATATTTCTGTCTGCATCAGCACATTTTTATGGGTTTAGGCTCTGTCGCTTATTTTGTTGGAACACATTTAGCACATTATGACAGAATTCTGAGCAATAATTGCTATTGCTGATGCCGCGTAAAAACTATGTGTAATGAAAAACAGTCTGATAGACTAAGTACTATTTATAATAGTCTGAGGAATTAACATTTATTAATACAAACATTCAGTACCTCTTGACCCTTCTGATCCAAACAAGTCTGTGCATTTGCCAACTCTTGATCCCGGAGATCTAACCTTGTCTCCAAAGCCCGCATCTTCCTTTCCCAGTCTAATTTCTTATTGCTGACCATGATGTCAATTTGTTCCATTAATTCCTGAAGCTCAGCCTCACAAGGAGAAGCTCTGCCAATTAGAGAAAAGTGAAATACATTTTTTAAAAAGCTAAACAAGAAAAATGATTACTTGGCTCTGAATAAATCATTATTTCCTCAAATTGTTAAATTATGTGAATAGGAAGAAGTCTGAAAGCTAGAGGGTTTTTTGTTTTGTTTTGTTTTGTTTTGTTTTGTTTAATCCTTACCTGAGGATATTTTTCCATTATTTTATTAGAGATAATGGAAGGGAGAGAAGACAGGGGAGGGAGGGAGGAAGAAAAAACACTGATGTGGATGTGAGAGAGACACATCGACTGGTTGCCAGAGATAGAACCCATGTACATGCCCTTGACTGGGAATCTAACCCATATTGTATGGATCATGTCATAAATAAGCTTGCAATAAAAGTCAGCTAAATAATTAATTAATAAATAAATAGCATTTTTAGAGCATACACATTCTAAGGAAAATTCTCATTATGAAACGTGGTTCCAGGTTCTTGCATGTGAATATCCATGTACCTGTGTATATCGTAACTTGAGGTCTGACAGCAGGCAGACTGGGACTTCATTTGTGCCTGTCAGGGGCAGAAGAGCAAGCCCAGTCAGGGCAGGACCAGGTTCAAGGGCACTGCCTACTTAAAGGGTCGCTGCTCCAGGAGGGGAACTTGGTGTGATCTGGTTAATGTCAGTTTGGAAGGAATCTGATCAGACAGGTGTGGGCAAAGGAATGGAAGTCCTTTGACTTCCATTCCTTTCCAGACAATGGGGATACTATTAATAAGAGGTGGCTGTTTCTTGGATATCTGCGGGTCTGCTGTGTTTGAAACAAAACCCTTGGTAATAACTACAATGGGGACTGAGAGCTGGTGAGGAGAGAGATTGCTGGGTGCTTCCAGGCCGGGCTCTCCTTCAGAGAAGCTGAAGCATAGCCCAGCCATCCAGAACACACGTCTGTGTTAGAAAAGCAAGTTATTTCGCATTATTCAATGCTGGTGATGGGCTTCTGATATATTTGTGTAGTTAGGGGAAAGTCAGGCGGGAGAAGCAGGTGCAAATGGCACTTGCTCCATTTGATTTCACCAAATCAGAACTTTAGGGTAATTAAGGATCATTTAGCATTTTGAAAATACTGAGAGGCCCAGTGAGGTCAAACTCACACATAAATTAGTGGCGGAGCCAGAACTAGATGGTAGGCAGCTGCTTCCCATCTTCAGACCCTTCCTGCATTCCACACAGGAAAAGACATGATGTTTTTAATAAGAGCTTGCTTGAAATATATAATGCAAATTAGCTCCATTGCAATAGGGTTAAAACAGCTATTAGAACCCAAAGAACTCAGAATTTCTGGAGTTGCTGTCTAAAATACCCAAAGTCAACCTAGACAAGGGATGTCCCTTTAATGTTTATTCAACAGCAGAGAGGTTTCAAACACAAAGTGCCAGCCTTAGCATTCCTGGGATAAGGCCCAAAGACTCTCAAGTTTTACTTAAAACCTAAAACCAATTTGAGGAAAGGAAGTACTAGTTCCTCTGTAAAAACAACAGAACAAAAAGAATAGTTTCACACCATTTTCTTTTTCGTAACATGTATCAGCCTTTACTGTAAATACATTTTGCTTGTTTGTTTCTGCTAGTATAAGCTCTGAAAGGAAAGGTCTATATCAGTCTGTTTATCACTGTCTCACCAGAACTCAGCCCAGTGCCCCAGCACGCAAAGATTGCTCATTGCAAAAGGAACAAATGAGTTCTTTTCATCACTATCTTTTTTTTAAAAAAAAAATATTTTATTGATTTTGTACAGAGAGGAAGGGAGAGAGATACAGAGTTAGAAACATCGATGAGAGAGAGTCATCGATCAGCTACCTATTGCACACCCCCTACTGGGGATATGCCGGCACCCAAGGTACATGCCCTTGACTGGAATCGAACCCGGGACCCTTCAGTCCCCAAGCCGACGCTCTATTCATTGAGCCAAACCGGTTTCGGTATCACTATCTTATTTTAAACTATTTTAATTGATTTCAGAGAGGAAGGGAGAAGAAGAGATAGAAATATCAATGATGAGTGAGAATCATTGACCGGCTGCCTCCTGCACTCCCCCTGGTGAGCCCACAACCAGGGAATGTGCCCAGACCAGGAATGGAACCTAGACTTCCTGGTTCATAGGCCAATGCTTAGCCACTGAACCACATCAGTGGCATGTAGAAACACAGCATGCTAATAGAACTAAGATATAGGTCCAAAGGAAAGTATGACATAATATAAGCTACTCAATTAATATTGTTGAATGAATGTTTTGTTCTATGGTTAAGACTATGCTATGCAAAAGTTAGGATAGTACACTCTTGGGATGAAAGGACTTTTACAATCATCTAGTCCAACCACCCATGCAGTGTCTGCATTCTTTCTACAAATGTTTCTTCAGAGAATTGTCTATCATACCCCACCTATCAGACTCAGCAGGTCTAGGATAGAGCCCAAGATCTCGAGTGATTCTGGTGCATGTTAAAGTTTGTGATCTGTTTCGCAATAGCACTGCCAAAAGGTCTTCCAGTCTACGTCTGAATTCTTCCTTCAGCAGGTAACCACTGACTGAGATCGTATCTGGATGAGTTTTTAAAAGTTATTTCCTGTACTAAAGAATTTTTTCATCCACTGGTCCTAATTTGATACATTGGGACTATTCAATATAGTCAACCGGAGAGAGCTGGAATAACACAGTTATCAATATGACGAATACAGTTCGTCATATTGTTCCTCCAGGTTCTGCTGCATCTCCTCTCCGCAGTGCTCCATATCAGAGGCTGAACATACAGACAAGGGCCAGAACACAGACTCAGACCCATAATCTCTACAGCAATGGTCCTTGAATGGTCAGGACTTGGTCTGTGACTGACAGCTTCCTTAAATTTTTGGCCCCACTTCCAAATCAGGACCAACTGGAGAAAGCCAAATATGCTCCCCAAATCGGTCATGTAAGATGCCCCCCTTCTAACATCCTGCCTCCAGGTTCTCTGTGCCAACAGCCTCCAATCAGAGCATACCTGAAGCCTTTTGTTCACCCTAGAGCTTTCCTGCTTTCCTGCCTGCCTTTGGGTCTCTGCCAAATGCAAGGGATGGTGGCTGACTCCCTTTCTGTAACAAGCTCTGAATTACTGGTAAACAGGCTCCACTTGTTCTCATTTGGGTGGTCTTTGTTTATTCCCTTCAATTGCCCATAGAGATTTTTCCCCCCCTCTACACTCACTACCTAGCATACTGCCTGGAAAATACTAGATGCTTGATATACATGAGTTAAATGGGTGAAACAATGAATAACTAGGGTAAGACTTTCAGACCCTTCATAACTCCGAGTGGCTCTCCTCTGAACATGTTCCTGTTTGTCGATTTCCTCCTTGAAATGTGCCACTCAGAGCTTTATGTATGACCTGAGCATGATCTAATCAGCCTGGAGAGGGACTCTCACACCCTTTGTTTTAGGTGCTATATACTTTTATTCAAGCAGATAAAGATCAGTTTGAATTGGGGAGGGGAGAAGGGCAAAACATACTTTTCAAGGTGCTTTTATCCTTGTCTAAACACCTCATTTCTTTCCCACACATGCTATGGGTGAAGCAGCCGAGTCACTGTCTTGTGCTTGTTCAGTTATGGGGCGTGCACCAAGGGCAGGGCTTATATTCTCCTTATTAAAATTTACTTTGATAGTTTCAGCCTCTCAGTGTGGCTCCTCATGACTGGTTCTTTAATATTCATTAAGTGGCTGCGGTCCACTGTGTGAGGAACTGGGAAGACAGAGATACAAGATCAACTGCCTGCGGGTAGACACGTACAATGCAGGCAGGAACAATCAGAGATGGATGAAGAGAAAGGGAATAAGAAGGCAGGTATTGAATTCAGACTTGGATGATGGGCTATCACAGCAGCCTTCTTAAATGAGGTAACTCTGAGCTTACATTTTGAGATCCTGTTTCTGTCAGATTATATCCACTATATCTCCCAGTTTGTGTCAGCTGCACATTTGATAAACATTTCTTGTTTTATATATACACTAGAGGCCTGGTGCATGAAAATTCATGCACTGGGAGGTGGAATGAGGGGGTGGGGGGAAAACAAGAGGTCCCTCAGCCTGGCTTGTGCCCTCTTGCAGTCTGGGGCTTCTCGGGTGTGTCCACCTACCAGCTTAGGCCCGCTCCCTAGGGGATTGGGCCTAACCTGGCAGGCAGACATCCCTCTGGCAGCCCGGCTTGTGGCTAAGCAGAGATTCCCCTGTGGGAGTGCACTGACCACCAGCAGGGCAGCTCCTGTGTTGAACATCTGCCCCCTGGTGGTCAATGCACGTCATAGTAACCAGTCGTTCCCAGTTGTTCTGTTGTTAGGATCAATTTGCATATTACCCTTTTATTATATTGGATGTGTTCTAGCACAATGTCATGAAGGAAGAGATGGAGGACAGAGCCTATGGCATTCCACTACCACGCCCTTTCAGTGACAGTAATTCACTGATTATGCTTTTTCTTATAATCAGATGTAAATCTTTACAATTAAAATAATTAACCTTACAATTCTACTTCCTCCCCATAAAAATGTCAGGAAAAGCTTGCAACATATGATGCCAGAGCCCCAACCCAGTTCTTTCTGTGGGTTCCCTGGTGCACAGCATATGAGCCCTGTGAACCAAGGCGGGTCTAGTGTGCCATGGACAGGTATGTGTGTACTATGTCCCAGTGGCCACTGCTTCCTCTCTGGGGGCTCATAAACCACTGATAATCTCTTCCAGAGTCTTAACTAAGATTCCTTTTTACATCAAACTCATTCTTGGGTCAAATTTAATATCTCCTTTAAACATTCAATTGCCCATCTACTTGTATACCTACCTCTCCTCAGTTTTCAGAGATAATTAATAGCAGCAGCTGTTTCAGTAGCATCAATTCAGTAGTAAATATAAAATAAAATACAAAGGGCTTAGTGTTGCCCTCTTCTCAGATCTGGGCACTAACATTACTTCTATTTTCATTTGTTCCTTTAGT